ATCACATTAACAATAATAAAAGTATAATATATCGATATTTTGATATTTTTGCACACCCCTAGTGAGCAATATGAGTTTTTTCTAACCCAGATCACAATTTCAATTTGATCTCAAGTCATATTACGTAGATACTGTCTTTAGGAGTGGACTATATCAACCACATCGACAACAACAAATCACACTTCACGCTTCTTCACACACAACATTAGAGAGGTGGACCAATAAGTGGGTCGGAAAACATTGATTGAATTGACTGAATCACACTATGATGATATCACCAGAATGACATAGGAATGAGATCACAGTTTTGATTATATTAGCCAGCCCTACATCCAAAGTACGTTATTGCTTTAAGAAAAAAAAAATGGATTGGGGAATTTAACGCTTAACTTTCAGCTTTTGGTGAATAAGCTCAGACAGTAGCAGTTTACACTCACTATTCCTATTGGTCAGCCTCCAGCTTGCTCCTTTGAGTGAGTGACAGGTGGATAACATAGATAAGCTTTTAAAGGTGATGTAAGCTGTATACTGCGACAAGCACAAAAATCTTTAAAAAAAATCTTAATTCTGACCTATAGGCTAATGGAAATGTTGTTGCCGTAGTACCCACATCCTCATCTTTCTATATTTCTCCTGTATATGCCAGTTCAAGCACAGCTGTAGAAATGAGCTAACCCGGACACAGAGCAGAAGTGACAGTGGTGACAGTGGCGTGAGTGCACAGAGCAGTGAGCCGGAACAGCTCTGCTCACAGTAAGGACGAGCACACTGACAGACAGGAACTCTCCATCGCTGCTGTGTAACAGAGACACTATGATATGTGCTGCTGTGGCTTTTGACGTGATCTACAATAACTACAAGACTATAAGAAATATGGTAAAGTGGAACATACTGCTGCTGTGTTTTAATTTAATGGTAGGAATCTGTAATATTGACAAACATAGCACATCTAAATTGATATTATGTTCCTAGAAAAATAATATTGTAATCCATCTGAAATGTGTCTGGTAGTTTTATATAGACCTAGTTTTCATGTTTTCATCATTTTGTGGAAAAAACACAAACATGCAAACTCAAAATCAATGCCCAGGCAGCTAGGAAACTAAAGCTACTAAAGATACTCAATTGAAGAGATATTGACACTATTGATACTTTGATTTAGTTGAACAAATAAGAAGACAAAACGAATAGTCCTAACTAGGGGTGTAACGATATCCAAGTCTCACGATACGATATTGTCACGGTACGATATCGTGGGAAGGCTCATGACATGGTGGGGAGGCTCTTGATTAGGGATGTAACAATATCCAAATCTCTCCGTATGATATTTTCACGATATACATCTCATGATACGATATTTATTGTGATATTTTGTGGAGGCTTACAAAACTGTTAATATGTGACTTTTTCTACTTAAAATGCCTTAAGACTTAATCCAAAGAATTAAGACTTAAAAGTGCTTAGAACTGTTATTTCTTCATGTCGTCTACACTGAAATGGAGCAAAAGACTATGTAAAAGCCTATGTAGTTCCCTCTGTCTTTTTTTTTTTTAGCTATTGCTCCACCATAACTCTTCATTTAAGCAAAGAGACTTGTAATTCGATATATTGTGATGGTCCACGATATTATTGTGAGAACTTTGTTGATACAATATCATGATATTTTGGTTGTTGTTACATCCCTAGTCCTTACCTCTACTAGGTACAGATACTGATAAAAAAAATAAAAAAAAGACAAAGCTGAACATTTTGTGAAGAGTTTTAGATCAGACCACACAATACCACCAGCTACAACACTACTCTGTTTACATAAAAGCACATTAGCTTTTTGCAGGTTTTTGTTTGATTTCATAAACCAGAACAACTCATTTTAATCCTAATACCAAAAATGATGTCATATATCTCCCACCTCTGGAATGGAGTATTAGTAACCCCTTGGCTGAGGTCAGGGTGTTTACTATGCAGGACCTGCTGGGGGAGATGGCAGGAGACAGCCCCTGCAGGCTACATCCGCACGGCTCCAGGACAGGTGCAAAGGTGTCCTTGGATGTCCTTCCAGAGCAGAAACACTGAAGCTGCTCTATAAGAACGACGGCACTGTCGCTGGAGTCTTTATGTTTGTTTTGAGCTGTTTTAACCAGATTTTTGGCTCATTTGGGCTGCATTTCTCATGTATGAACAGAATAATTACCTACAATTTAAAGGTCAAGGCTGCATAACTTAGCATGTGTTCAAACGACAAAGGCTGCAATTATTTGGGTATTTCCTCTGCTCTCTTTTGTGTTAACCTAGACCCCCATTAACTGTTCTGAAATGCAGGAGATTCTTGTACTAATTTAGAAGTTAATCTTTTGTTTGAAGATTGAAATTACAGATTTCAGGAGTTCTGGTTGTACTTTGGAGCAGAGTTTAACTTTGGAAGAATATACTGACTAATTATGTGTGTTAAATAATTTCTTTAAATGTGCACTAACCATTCTGAGGGAGGGTTTTTCCCATTTACCTGCTTGTCTCCATGGTTATCTATCTTCATGAAACCAGGTGACAAGTCCAGGCCAAATTACAGGCAACCTCACAGTAAAAATGCAAGTTGTACCATCATAAATAAACACCTTTAAATGAATAAATGCAAGGCAGATATGAGTAGATACTGTCATACTGTGAAACATTCCAGGTAGAGCAATAACATCTCCATGAAAACAGGTAGCGGCCCTCCTCCCGAAAGGTTAGATGGTGCATTTTTTAGATGGGCTTTACTTAAGTATCAGATCAATAGATGAAAAAACAACTATAAACGTTAAGTACTTGGAAACTGAGCACGTTTCAGACTCACTCATGCCTCTTCTTCCTGCCTGACCTGTAAAAATCTTTATAAATTAAACAAAATGCTTTAATAAAAAACTTTGGTAGACTGAGACACCATCATCCAAACAAATAAAGGTATACAGCCCAAGTTTTTTGCACGTATACAGCCCAAGTTTTTTGCACTATCACCCAGCCCTACCCTGTTCCATAATGTGACTTTAACATACTGTTTGGACTATGGAAACATACTGTCACCATCAGCAGCTCTCCCATGTGTGTATGACTCAAGCTCTAGGTGTGCTCTGTGCTTATGTGTAGCCAAGGCTTCACAAACGCACTGATGGATGTCTCTCTGCTCCTTGGCGTTGGACAGGCGTCGGCCCTGTCACTGTGTATAGATTAGCTGCAAATACAGATTAAGTCAGTTGTAATTCATCCAATCATCTGATGTGTGATGTGGCTTTTCCACTCGGCTCGTCGCCACTGGGCAGAACACTAAATTAGCCACAAGTAAAGTATGTCTAAACAGGCTAATGGATACTTCATTGACTCCGCTCACAATCAGCAAATCATAGACTGCAATTATTTCAGTATATATCATTCGAAAACAGCTAAATATCTTGGGTTATTCTGTATAAATCCTGTTTTACCCTGTAGTTTAGTCCTCTACACACATGTTCTGAACTGCAAGGGATTCTAGTATTCTAGTTTAACAAGTAGTGTTGTCAAGAAACCACAATTTAAAACCTAATTTTAATGCTAAGGAACCAGCTTGATACTCAATACCAATTTCAATACCACAATTTTTGATAAAAGTTGTCATTTTCAGCACAAAATATTACCACTTTCTGTATCATGTGGTCACTTCTTCTGATAAAGGTCAAGGTAAAATTTTGGAGAGCATATGTTCCCTCATTTCCTCCTTTCTTTTTTTTCTTTCCAAAATTAGGCTCTGTGTTCCCACATTTCCTTTATCATCAATTTGCATCAGAATTTATCCCCATTTCCCCCAATTTGGTCGTCAATTACACCCAATTATTATTATCCAGCAGCAGTGGACTACAGATGTAAGGTAGAGGTCATGGTGCAAAAGATCCTAGGTTGAAATTACTCTGAATCATCCCCTTAAAATGTGGTATAAAAACAAAATGACTTAACTTAGAGTTTAATCTTAGAAATAAGGCAACATAGGACTGAGGGAACATTGGGCCCATTTTTTATTGCTACAAATGAGTATCTATTGTTTAAATATCTGATCTGTATCTGATTTTCAATGTTTTTAACCATCCTATAGATCATATTTTAGTCTTTTCTAAATAATCTGCTGGACTTCTTTAGATTATGATCAAAACTCTACAATAAAAAACATAAATTGCAAATCTAATCGCAATCCTTGTCAGAAAAAAATACACCTCTAAGTCATGTTTGCCCTAGAGAGGAGACCCCAAGCAAGGTTAGGGTTAAGGTTAAGGCAAGGAGACCCTGTACAACCCCATGACAATTTATTTATGTAATACGAATTTCCTATGTTGATGGCTACTGCATCATTTGACAGGAAGTAGCTGCTTTTTTTTTCTTCAACGTGCCACTTATTAACCTGCCCACTCAATCCAGGACCCCAGTGTTAATGAGAAAGTGTTGACTGATAACAAAATTTTATGCCCACCCCCTCACTCCCTAATGGCACCTCTAATGGACAGGGATATTGAAGAGCAGATCAGATGAACCTTAATGTTACTTCCCATCTTACAATTTCACTCTGGAGATCAGCAATTACTATGACTAAACATTATGCTTAGACACGCGTTTTTGCCACGAGGAGACCCCTGTTTGGTCACTTTTATACGCGCCATTTTATCTTTTAGTTGTGAATAAATAATAATGATAAGGTGAGACGTTGCGTTTGATTTGTAAATGATTTCTATTTTTGGAGTGTGGGCATCTTGCGTTCTCCACTATGTAATTCCATCGCGCTCCTCGTTGCTGTTATGAAAAACGTGGCACCACATCATTGACAGGATTCATTATTACACAACATTTACGCACAGACGTATTGGTTTTTTGCCTGCATCCCTTATGTATTGTATTATTCACGGTGTGCGCGGTGGTGGCTGGCTGGCTGACTGTGGCCTGCGTTGTATAGGTAACACAAAAGAGCATCGATGAAGCCATTATTAGATAGACAAGTTACTTACCTCCCGCAATGGCGAGCAGAGCCAACAGCAGAGGCAACCAGGCGTCCGTCATCATCACCATTATGGACTATAACGGCAATAGTCCACCCCAAAAGCGCACCGCAGTGACTGAGACTCCGCTACCCCTCCTCCTCCACCTCCTCCTCCTCCTCTTCCTCCGCACGATGAAGAAGCTTGTCTCACTTTCTACCTGGCATGGTGACGTCGCGCCCGTGTCCGTCGGTGCCCAAGTCCCCCCAAAACAACAGTGGTGATGTGAAAGTCCAGCGTGCGCGGGGGGGAACACGGGGAATTAAAAGTAAAAGAGCAGCGAGAGGCCGGCAGGTGCACGCAGCGGCTGAATGTGCGTGGAAAGATGCGACGACGCGCCGCCGCCGCTCGCTCTTCGCGCGGGAGGAGAGGGGGCGGGGCCCGTGGGGAGGGGGGGTGAGCACCGTGGATGGGAGAGAGAAAGAGAGGAGAAAGAGAGAGGAAGTGAGAGAGAGAAGGAAAGTGGGAGGAAGAGAGAGAGAGAAAGAGGGAGGGAGAAAGAGATACAGAGAGAAGCAGGGAGAAAGAGGGAGGGGGACAGAGAGAGAGAGGGAGAGAAATGTATAGAGAGAGGCAGGGAAAGAGAGGGGGAAGAGAGACTGAAAAGGAGGAAAGAGACTCAAAGAGGGGGTAAAGGGAGGGAGAGAGAGAGAAAGAAAAAAAGAGAGAGAGAGGGGGGAGGGAGCAATGGAACGAGAAAGACAGAGGAGAAATAGAGGGGGTGGAAAGAGAGAAAGAGGGAGAGATAGAGAGGGAGGGAGAGAGAGAGATACAAAGAGAGGCAGGGATAGGGAGGGAAAGAGAGAGAGAAAGAAAGAGGGAGGGACAGAGAGATATAGAGAGAGGCAGGGAGAGAGGGGAAAGAGAGAGAAAAGGAGAGAGAGTCAAAGAAAGGGGGTAGAGGGAGGGAGAGATCAACTAAGGCAGTGAGGGGGAGGGAGACAAAGAGAGAGGGAGATAAAGAGAGAGGGAGGGAGGGAGGAGTACCTTTGAGGCCCCGTGCATCTCCGACATGATGCCAGGATTCTCTCACGCACAAGTCAGACAGAATTTTCCACGTGTTTGTCTTGCTGACCTTGTGAAAGTCAGTGGCACATGCTTCTTTAGTTCAGTTTATTTAACTAATCTAATGCCTACAGTGAAATGTCTAAAGTGATGTGAACTTTCAACAGTAAAACAGCAACAATACAGAGGAGCTGGAGTATATATTTAAAGGTGCATTATGTAACTTTTCTGGTTGATGGCCACTTGTTTGTCTTGAAATGTTATGGCTTTGCTGAGTGTCTTCCAGTGTGACTTTTGACTTATCTATTTCAACAAGCAGGTAGCTCCACCACTTACAGGTCAGATCTGAGGAGAGGAGAGCCTGCTTACATTTAAACACATAGAGGCAAAACAATAACATCTCCATGGTGCCAGACCCCCACCAGAAAAGTTACACACTGCACCTTTAAAAACTATACTGAGCAGATGATTTTATTGAGACACACTTTGAACTGTTGTTTTTCGTACTTACCCTAAACCAGCTTTATTTTCGTATTGCAGTATAAAGCAATGGCAACACCCCACCCACAAAGTTAAAACATGTAGAAAACATAACGCATTCAAGTATAAAACTGGGCTGACCACATGCTGAGACGCTGAGGGGTGAGGGAAGGCGGAGGGGGGGTATTGCGGCACAGATAGGGGTACAGGGCACGCACGCTGGTAAGCAGAGATGAAGGAGCGTGGGCGTGAGGCAGTGGGCATGGGATGGGTGAGACAGTGTAAAAAAGTAAACAGGGGTGGAGAGTGTGAGGGAGGAGAGGAGGAGAGGAGGGTGGAGGCGGTTGCCGTGGTGACTAAGAGAAAGCACAAAACGACCTGTTTCTCCTTCAATTTGTCTATTTCCATCACACGCGCACACAACACACGGGCAGAATACACACACTTTCCGTGCGTTTATGAACACACAAATGCGGCACGGCTCTATGCATGTCTTCCTCCTGTGCTATCTTTATCCTGTTGGCTGTTGCTGCCTCCAGTCTTTTCCTCTCTCCACATCTCCCTCTCCTCTGCAGTGAATGAGCTGACCTGACAGTGCTCCTCCTCTGCTCTGAGTGCTCCGAGTCGCTCTCTAAATTATTGAAAAGCTGGGACCCCCACGAGTGCTTGTCTTCCCTTGGCTCGCACCCCTCCCTGCTCCCTCCCTCCTTCTCTCTCTTTTTCTCTCTCTCTCTCTCCTCCTCACCCAGTCCCTCTGCCACTCGCTTGTCACTTCATCTCTGGGCAGTGGCTATTGCTCGATCTGACCATTACTTTAATTAGTAAATATGATGCAGAGTCATACATGTATTCATAGAGTGTCCAGTGTGTACTTGTAGATAGGATTTGTTGAGATGCGGAAATGCTTTTATTGCACTTATTTATTGAGGGATAGTTAGGCTCATCGGCTTGCATAGTAGACAGTATGAAATCGCACTTGGGATGAACACTGTTGCCCTTTAAACGCTCATATGAATCATAATATATTGTTGTATGATTAGTATAACACTGACAATGACAATGAGCGTGGAGCGAGCATACTTTTTGCCTTCATTGGGCCATGCTTGAATGAAGAGAGCAATAATCAATAGTAAGTGCTTCCATTGTGCAGCATAAGCCAGTTCAACATATTACATCATATTCTGCAGGCGGATGATTTGTTGTGTTAAAGCGACCCCGGCTCTGAGGAGAAAACAACAACAACAATATCCTGAAAGAAATACAATAGCAATAAAAGCTGAACAGTATTTGATTGGGATTTTTCTGACAAGCATTGTGAGTTTAGACTTGCTATTTCTGCTTAAATAATCAATTTATGAGGATGAATCAAACGCAAAGGACACATTTTCTTAAAGGGACAATGAAGTGTACCTTAACCTTAAAGATGCACTATGTAACTTTCTTGGTTGGGGGTTTGTCACGTACACTGGAAAAAAAAAAAAAAAAAACAATATCTAGGTAAGTTAAAATGACTTAAATTAGGAATATTTTACTTTATTTGAGTAGGTTCAACTTGACTAGTCAAATTATTTACCTGTAGAATAAGTGTGTTTTTCTTCATTCAAGCAACTTTTGATTTTATTTTTTACTTTAAGTGGAGCAAGATGCATTTTCATATTTTAAGTTCAAAAAGTCTTATTCTACTGGCAGATAATTTTACTTGTTAAGTGAAATTTACTCAAATCATGATAAATTTTTCTTAATTCAAATCATCTTAACTTGACTAGATTTGTTTCTATGGATATGTCACTGCATAATGTTCCACAGTATGACTTTAAACAGCTCTACCTTAAATATTTTACAATTACAGGTAGTTCTATAGCTCAAAAATACCTAATCTCTCTCTCTCTCTCTCTCTCTCTCTCTCACACACACACACACACACACACACACACACACACACACACACCTACACAACACACACACACACACACACACACACACACACACACACACACACACACACACACACACACACACACACACACACACACCTAGTTGTCTTTTTGTTCAGGTTAGTAAGAAGCAGCTCACCCCATGGCATTTATAGGACTCACCAGAAATGTTAAAGGGGTTAATGTTAAATTGGGTCTTTAACTGGCTTTCCTTTCAACTGAATGTGCATGTCTCACACTCTCTCTCACTCCTGATTGTCTCTTTGTTCGGAAGAGGTCCTCAGGCAGTCCAAGACGTACTGACCGCTCTGTGGGTGAACCTGGGGCACACTGGAGACGAGGTGCCACACCAGCCATGCCAGCCGTCAATTGCCTGCCACGGGGTGACACTAAATGCCAGGACCTCTGGACTAGCCCGCTAAGTTTTTAACCTTTTGACAAACTCAACAGACTTCTCCCACCCTTGTGACCTGTTGATTCTAGGGGTGTGATGATATCCGAGTCTCACAATACGATATTGTCACTTTATGAACCTCACAGTATGATATTTATTGCAATATCGTGGGAAAGCTCATGATAAGGTGGGGAGGTTCACTATTAGGGATGTAACAATATCCAAATCTCTCTGTAAGATATTTTCTTTCTTCTTTTGGATACTTAATCCAAAGCACTAAGACTAAAAAGTGCTTAGAACTGTTATTTCTTCTTGTCATCTGCAGTGAAATGGAGCAAAAGATCATGGTCTATGTAGTTCCCTCAGTTTTTTTTTTTTTTTTTTAGCTATTGCTGCACCATAACTCTTAATTTAAGCGAAGAGACTTGTAATTCGGTATATTTTGATGGTCCACAATATTACTCTGAGAAGATACAATATCACAATATTTCGGTTACTGTTACATCCCTAGTTGATTCTCCTTTTAAATGGACACGGCTGTAGAATATTGTAATAAAATCTGTTACAGGCGTTATAAGACCCTCCACAAATGTTACACAATGCACCTTTAAGGATCCTGTTCAAAGTTGACATTCTGAAAACATCGAGGAGAATTGACAAAAATAAATATGAACTGACAAACTAATAAAAGAATCAGATTTCAGAACATGCTTATACAAATCTAAAATATGGGCATAGCAGTTTTTATGAAGATAAGACAGGATATTTTGTTGTTTGTGGAGGAATTTATGGTACTTCAAAAGCTGCAGTCTTTGAGATGTGTAAATTGCATCCATTCAAATTGCAATTTCGATTTGATATAAATAAATATGTTCTCATGCTTAGGTTTAGATCTAATGGTACTCGTACAGCCAAGTATTTTCTTATGTGGTACTTGATATAAAATCCTTAAAAGCAGTTGACACCTGCACTGGGTAATGAAGAAGAGTCAGACCAGAGGGAACAAGACAGCTGAAAATGCTGCGTTTATTTCTGCAAATGACATGGATTTAAAGGAAAGTTGAAAATCAGGGCAGCAGTTTAATTTGGATACTTTATAAATAAAACCAGAGAGGTCAGAATGAGACAATTTGGGCACGTTCAGAGGAGGAGGGTGCCTAAATTTATTCCAAAACAGATGCTGAGGTTAGAGCTGTCAGAGTGGGGGCATAAAGGGAAACCAAAGAGCAGATTTATGGTTATTGTGGTCATTGTTTGGCAGCATTTATGACTCGTGGTGTGGCAGGATGGTTAAGATTTAAAATGACTGCACAACACAAAAGAGGTTTGACTGAGACCTCTGCACACTAATTAGCTGCATTGTCTTGAACACATGTACCGCTGCTATTGTCCATTGTACCCTGACCTAGTGGGAGAGGGTCAGAATGTGAACCAATCAATAAAGAAATGTATTGTGTCTGGAGTTTAAGGTTAGACAATGATTTTAAACGTGCATTGTGTCACTTTCTGTCTTGTTTCTATGGAGATATTATTGCTTTAGCTAAAATCTTCTGCAAAATGGCATTAAATCCAACCCAATCCACTTTATTTATACATCACATTTCACAAATAGTTTTGAAAGAGCTGATAATGATAAAATAAATGCTCAGATTTAATCATATTAGTCTTAAAACAATAAAACCAGTCAAATAAATAAGAGCAAAACCACATAATAGCAATAAATAAATAAAAACAATAAAATACAGTAAAAATAAATAAATAAAAGACACAGAGGACCACACCACTCATGCAGTGTTAAAAGCCAGAGAATAAAAGTGGGTCTTAAGATGAGACTTAAAACAGTAAAAAGGTCCAATAACAAAAAATTTACTCTTGTGCGCTTTGAACATATAATGTTAATGTTACCTCATCAAAAATATACTTGAAGTTGTGTTTAAGTTTGAGTAATCCTTTATTATTAATAGTACGTCTACATATTAACTGCTCTGTTCCACCTTGTGATGTCATGAAGTGGTAATTTTTTAAGTTAACAGCTACTTTTTTACCTTTTGTTCAGTAGAGGATGACAGTTCCAGGGCTGAAATCTTCCAAATGATTCTAGTAAAGTATGGAGTTTTAAAATGCAGTAGAGCACTTCCTGTATTACCACATGAAAAACTCAGCCTAAATATGCAGGCTTTGTGTGTTAAACATGTGTGAATGAAGCAAAACTCTAGGTTTTATTTTTGATGAGGAAAAGTTAGGATAAATAACTAGGCTTAGATGTTTTGTATAATCACTTCTATAGTTCATTATTGTACCGAGGCCATTTGAAGATAAGGGCTCTGATCACGTTATGTCAAGACAAATGCATGATATTCCAATTTATCTAATAGCAAACTAACTAAATAGGACAAGAACGACTGATAGGGATGATGTCATGACTTGTTAGCCAGATAACACCCCGGATGGAGTCTGATTGGACTGTGCAACGTGCCAAGAGACCTGGCTGGCCTGTGCATGCACCAAGAGGCACTAAATCTAAACCACAGTAGCCTCCCACTATAGTATAAAAGTGATTGTATAGGCTTAAACATTGAGTCTCTGCATGGGAATGTTGACACAGACTCCTTGTACAAGTATGGTTTTCTAATATTAGAAGAAATAAATTATCTGGACTTTATTTCTGTTTCAAGTGTATTTTTTATATAAGCAGAAACTAACAAACACAAGAGGAAAAGGTTGTCTTCCTCAATAGAAACATAGATCAGAAAATAGTGTAATACGGACCCTTTAAACATACAATCTATCCCCACGCACCACCAACGCAAGTTACAAGTCAAGTATGTGGAAAGGCAAGCCCATTCACAGCAAGAATGTCTGTTTTGCCATTTTTTGAGCAGTAAAACCACCTGTAATTGAACAAAAGCAAAAAATATAAGTTTAATTCCACCCTGCAGAACATTTCAGATGACGCATATTGATGGCAGAGAAAATTTCCATAGTGTATTTTTAAGAAACTACATTTCTAACATGTTACAGGTTGCTTCTCTCCATTCACAATATGATATGTCAATATGCTTACTACATCAAATCCACAGTTATTCATAGCGTTTTTCCCATATTGCAGTCAGTCCCACTCTCCCTCTCCTTTCGTTCGAGACATGGCCCTACCTCTCTTCTAACTAATCACCATGGCAACCTGGTAATCCCTGTACAGAAAAATCCGGTCTGTGCTCTATCTCTGTCACACATACACACACATATACACACACATACTATGCACACATGGATGCACAGGGCCCATTCACGCTTGCATGCACGCCCCCTCACAAATACACCAAACCCAAAGATGTTTCGGAGCATCACAGCCAAACCTCTGGTGTTTACTGGTACGGGACATCGCAACGCACGCACAGAACAGAGGATAAAGCCTATATTGTGTTGTGTTATGCTAATGCTGCTGAAGTCTATTGCCATTTGCGTCTTCCTTCATTGTGTATGCGTACTATAGGCCTGTGTATTTTGGTATGACAGTAATTCCTAAGTGCAGATGTGCGGCCTGTGTGTATACATAGGGTTGCGTGTGAATGCGTGTTGGCTGTAATTGATTTCACACTCAGGTCAATGGTTTCACAGCTACAAGAGAAAAACACATAGATCCACTCTGGTTAGCGCCTCGTATCTGTTTCAGTGCAGTTGACTTTTGCTGCTGGCATTTCTAATAAAAACACACTGTCGCTTTCTCGTAACAATTAATGACACTTTATTTAAGAGAAAGTAATACAATACAATATATCAAAACATCATGCCACTTCAGTCGTCTTTTACATACATTTCAGCACAAAAGTGTAGTGTTCAGACTAGTCGCCATAGCAATTAACAATCCAAAACAAGCCATTCTATTTTTCGAAGGATGGGAAAGGATTCACGTATAAACAGGAAATTAAAACCTTCAAATAGAAGATTACACAGCATTTTTTGCTGCAGTTTCCATATTATCTCTGGGTTTCAGAATGACGAAAAATTAGGACAGTTGCTATGGTGATTAACATTTTTAAATAAAACACATTTTTCATGGGAAAAAGTCTTGTAACAGGATGCTGAAACCCATTAACAGACATCATACTCAATGTTCTAATTTCAGAACAACAATATTGGTGGTATCTTGTAAAATTTCAAATCAGCCAACTCTCTTTCCGAAATATAATAATCTTTGTTTTGCACAAAGTTGTAATTGAAAAAGCCTCATAACATTTATAATATTGACATTTTGTGCATGACTTTATGCACAGGCTTCTTGCTGACTGAGCAGTATAATGTGCTTCCCCTCCCACCACAGTACAGTACTAGTTATAGGATCAATACCCTCTTTCTCTTGACTGACACTGTGGTTGGTAAATGAGTATGATTTTCTGTACAGATCAATACTGTGATTGGCAGGTGGGATTGATGAAAGAATATACTCCAATCATGTGTATTGATCACACAGACTGCGCTCCTGCTCTAAGTGCCATGTTGGTAATTGTTGATATCAGCAGCTCTGTGTAAAGATGTCTTTTCAGGAGGTCATAAAGCTTTCGAATAATGCCAAAGCTTGGACCAGATAGAACACACTACTTTATGACCCACTCGTCCAAGTCAAGTTTTAAGTTTTAGTAGAGGAAAATGTCATGTAGAAATTAGCTGACTGAATGCATAATAGTTTTAGTCAACCAGATTTTTTAAAGGTCCTATATTATGCAAAATTGACTCTTGTAGGTGTCATGTTATCACACATTTTTGAGTAACCTTTAATTGTTAGTCTGTCATGACCTCCAAAGCTCAAAATACTCTGTTCTACCTTGTAATGTTATGAAGTTTTCAACTACCTTTTGTTTCGTATAGATAAGCAATTGCTGGGCTGAAATTATCCAAATGATTTTAGTGAAGGTGTATGGAGTTTAAAAACACAGTGGAACACATCCTTTATACGAAACAAAATTATAGATATGTTTTTGATGAGACAATAAATAAACAACAGTATAGCATAGATTAGAAAACAGACTTAATATAGGCCCTTTAACCATGATAAAATAGTTTGTCATTGTTTCATAGGACATGTAAACATATGGTCCTTGGACACTCAGTTTGTTTATTGTCTGGTTTGGGGCTTTTGGGACTGATTACTGATTGGGACTGTTTAGTTTTTATTATTCCACAAAATCTGTATTTTTAGTCCATGAAAATATCCACTTATAATCATAATTTTAGCCAGCAAAAATGCATGTAATTTTAGTTTAATTTAGTTCGTTATGTGAGCAAAGGACATTGTTGGGATAAACCACAGTAAATAAAATTGCTTTGATAGCTACTTTTCACATCACATATCTAAAGCAGTGTCTCTCTGACTCGGCGTGTCTTCTATGTACAAAGTTTTTACAAGTGTGCAAATTTGTGCTCTTGTATCTCGTGATTGTGCTTGTCTCTTCCTGTCAGTTTGGCTCTGTCCGAGTTTATTGTTGCTTGGGAACCGGATGCTGCAGGGTCATGTGCTCGGCTCCGTTAAAAGGCAGTCTGTGTATGCAGTAGTGATGTACCAGCTCAGGGATAGAGGAGAACACACAGCTACTCTGATCCAGCGTGTAGACCAAGCCCTTGCAGGTTTTAGTCTGTGCCACAATGATGTGTACACAACTGTGGCTGGTCCTAAACAAAAAACAAACACAAACAGACTTACAGTGTTGTTCCAAGAAAAGTGGTGCCTGCAATGTGTTCACTTCAGTGAATGAGAGCAAAACAACAAATGTGCAATCAAGCAGACACCCACACAAAAACACAAGATGTCCGCCTCTGAAGGATGACATCATTTCAACTGTAAATATGAGCCTAATGTTCAGAGGTGGGCGGCACTAACATTTGCTCATTTAGTTCAGCACCTTTTTCATAAAATTGTACTTCTCTGAGTAATTTCAATACTCTAACGTTTTGATTACTCTTCCCACTATGACTACACATGTGATGTGTTTTTTCAAGGGCTGCACCTTTAGATATTAGGCCCTTCCAATTAGGCCTAAATTAAAATTAATTAAAATTAAAACTTAAAATTATGAATCAGATATTATGTCCAGACAGTTACTATTACAGTTACTTTCAAATGAGCAATAGTATTTTGAAGTAACTCTTTCCTGTGTACAACCTTTTCGCTACTCTACTCACTTTGAACATTTTAGCTTTGGCAAATGCCGACATGCCTGTAACTGAAGTCTATATTTAGACAGAGTTATTAGATGGGTTGAATAGTGATCAGTGAGTGATGCAGCAGAAAAAGACAGTCTATAAATAAAAGTGTACATGTTGCATTATGAAGTGGTTGCATCCTGAGCAGAAAGCACACGCAGCAGTCTATATTGTGCACTCACTTCAGAGCGATGGAGTATTTGCTGGTCCCTGATTCGCTGTCTCTCACCAGGAAGCTGGCCTCCCTGCAGCGCTGCAGCTGAGTCTCTGCCTGCTGTCGGGTTACGCTGCCATGGTACCAGCTCCAGGGGGGGGCGAGGGGTGAGGGGAGAGAGACAGACGATCACTGACATATAGCACACTGACATATGGAGATAAGTCAAATGTCAGGTCAATGATACGCAGCGATGGTGTGAGGATGAGGAAAACATGGTGAAGAACACAACAGGCCAGCTCTGATTTACACTGTACAAAAAACTAAGAAAGATCTCCACTGTTACAGGTGAAAGACCTGAGGTATACAGTACAATAACTGAACATAAGAACATGAGCAGCTAACGGAACACAAGGTGCTAATGCCTACAGGCTAACACCATTTATAAACAAGGGTTTACGCATGAGAGGCTCCACAATATCGCATTATGAAAGCAGCTGTGAGCATGTTTTCTATGTGTTTAAGCAGACTTTTATTCACACTTGACACATAACAGAGTCAGTGCACAAGATGGAGAGGACCATCAACTCAGAAGAAGTCAAGTTTTCGTTACAGGACAATTATTTCAATGGAATATATATACATACAGTGTACTGTACATATATACAATAGTATAATATATATACTATATACAAAGGTGTACTATCTAATTCTTCTGGTAAAGGGTCCGTCAACTGCTTGTCTCCATGGAGATATTCTGATTCTCCCTGGATGTTCCACAGCAAGGCATTAAACCTGTCTATCCTGCATTTAGTCATTTATTGGTTGTTTTTATTTCTAAACAACACACCCTGAGAAAGTGCATTCTAATTCTTATCAGGGTTGTCTTTTCATTTGGCCTGTAACTGACCTGGTGGCTTCACCTGCTTGACTCCATAAAGATAGATCATTTTAATTTTTTTAGTACTGCATTTATTTATTGATTTAATTATTTTTATTCATTAATTTTATTATTATTCTTTTATCTATTGATTCTATTGGTTCATTTTTTTTAGAACACTGCTGACTTTTTAGAGTTAAATGTTTTACAGTGTTATGTGAAGCACTAAAATGTACTATACAAATAAAGTTGGACTGGTTTGGATAATACCATTGTGTGCAACATTCCAGGCAAAGCAATAACATTTCCATCCTCCATAACAGATCCTCCACCAGAAAGGTTTCGTATCATAAGTTATTAATGCTATAAAAATGTTTTATTCTAAGAAAATATAGAATAAAAGAAAAGACTGTAGTGAAAATTAAAAGGGTCTCACATGAAAGGCTAATTTGAAAACACAACCAAGTACAGTATTTGGTCTTATTCTAATCAAACAGAGCTCTTTCTTCTCTTACCTCTGCTTCTCCAGGGGCAGGCAGGGGTCCACTCGGGCTGCGTCTCCCTCTAGTGGGCTCCCAGGCGAAGAGGGTGAAGGGGGAGACAGTTTGTTTGAGCTGGAGGATGGAGAGAGGGGCAGAGGTTTCAGTGTAGAGAAAGAGGAGGAAGAGGGGGGAGTGAGGGGGGAGAGTTTGAGAATCGGAGAGGAGGGGAAAGACGGAGTGGAAGATACAAGGGTCTTGGTCCAGTTCTTCTGCCTGGGTCTCGTAGTGGCACTGTTTTCTTTGGTGGCTGAACAGTCCACTGCCTCAAATTGAGCTAACACAAATGATAAAAAAAACAATATTATTATTACATTATTGAGGTATTTGTTTCTTATTTCAACAAAAATATTTATATATCAATGTCATAATATAATATTTATATTTTTTACCTACTTAAGGAATCCCCTAAACCCTATTAAAAAATATCAGTCACTATAAACAATGTAAGGGGTACTGTCCAATGTCCATAGCGAAAATATATATAAATACAATAACAATATAAACTTCTACTTTGAATTATATTATGGCATCAATAACACTTAATTACATCAATAATATGACCCCCCCATGCCTTTATATTCCAATGTACAGTTTTAAACTACCTTTGAAAAGGCTTCATTTTAATTGCTATGTCCATATTATAGGTGCATTATGAAACTTTTCTGGATCAGAGTTTGCCATTTGCTTCTCTCTGTGGAGATGTTATTGCTTTGTATTAGACTCATACAAACTTTATTGATCCATAAAGGAAATTATTTGGACACAGTAGCTCAGACATCATAATATATAATATATTTATATGAAATGTTTCACAGTTATCTTTGTCCATCTCACTCACAGTAAAAATGCATGTTTGTGAGCTATAAAAATACCTATATTTCAATAAATGCAAGATAGATTATTTTAATGCCATACTGTGGAACAACACCACAAAAGTAAAAGCATCACCGTGGAAACTCAGGTGTCAAGAATCACCCAGAATCAGACGCTGTACTTTCCACCAGAAAAGTGACATAACACATCTTTAAGTATCTATTGTGTCTCCATGTACCTGACAACGCTCGGACAATGTCCTCCTTCCTCCACTCCCAGGGCAGCTCGTACTCTCCAGCAGGACGCACATCAGACTCCGGGCGCGACACAGGGATCCACACGCCCTCACTGTCTGTGTCAGGACCACCCTCACTGGGACCCTCATACGGGGTGTCGTAGATATTCAGGGCTGTGGGAGACCCCTCCTCAGACTTCCCCTCCGTCTGGCCCCGATCCACCAAAACACACACTTTGAGCAGATCCTTGGACCCACGTCTGCGCACTTCTGCAACAGAGAGAGGGATTTAAGATTTAAGAGAGGGATTTAAGATGACTTTTCTCGTAAATGTATGTGTAAATGTCACAGGCAAAAGCAAAGCAGCGGACAGAGGAAAGTCAGACCTTTTGATTAAATTATTTTGCTTGGGCCCATCTATCACTGTACATATACATTACCAGTCAAAAGTCTAGACACACCATCTCATCTGTTGTTTTTTTTGTTTTTTTTTTACATTGTATATACAGAAGTCAACTAATGCCGTCCATGGGTCCATTAGACTCTACACCAGTTTTAAAATCACTGCAGTGCATATCATTGCTATTTCCTTTAACATCATTGCCATAGCAGGGTTGTTGGAGGATTATTGAACTTCAAATAATATGCAGAATAAAGATTCTCAATTGATATCATGTGGTTTTCTGTGAAATACCAACTGTAAATCATGTTAATACGTTTGTTGGCTTTTAACCTTGATTAAAACTTTTCTATTCTTCTGATATTGTATTTGTTATGAATAAGTCTCTACATTTCAGGGAATTTCTACACAGTCTGTTTTTCACTGTCTGACAGGTAGCCTCTGTGTCTGCACTATTGTGTGACCAAACAATGGGGCTACAGGAAGAAAAGGTCAACGCCGCTGCTGATTGGCTGACAGACCGGGTCCCACTTCCTGACTGCTGGGAAATGATTGGGTTAGAAGTGGCGAGGGGCTGTGGTGCATTATTTTATAAGGTGTTTGTACGTGTCTCTATGTGTACATGAGAGGGGCGGTCAGGGGCCAACTTCCTATGTAGAGAATGGGGCAAAGGAAGTGCAGGCAGGAGACAGGAAGCTGGAAAAGGAAGCTGCACCCATTGTCCCTGCACAACACTGTTTCTATAGCAACCACCAGCGATGAGAGAGGGCAGATCAAGTGGGGTTCAAATGTGACGACTGCATGAAAGCAATATGTCAAAAGTACTGAAACTTGCTTATAAATCTGAATAGTCCAAATAGGCCAGAGGTTCCTAAACGTTTAAGACCTTAAACCCCTAAAATAACAAAGGAAGCCAATTCGGACGATAAGATTCAATAGACACTTCTAATAATAGCAAGCAAAAAATATATATATAATACTGGACAATATGCCAAAAAGTAAATTCACATTTTTTCTCTTCTTAATCTATGACAATGTTTTATTGAAAACAAATAAACATGGCTTTTCTGTATTGATACTTGATCAGTCCTTAATTTTCCTTATCATTGTTGGTATCCTTACATATTATTGCAATACAGTTATGTTACCAGACTATAACAGTGACTCTTTGTCCGCACTTGTAAATAGTTCATATAATTCAATGTAAAATGTGTGAAATGTATAAAATGCAAAAAAAAAAAAAAAAAAAAAAAAAAAAGATCATTGTGTTAGATTAGAGGAAGGGGGTGGGATTAAATACATTTTCTTCTTCCCACTCCTTTTTGGGCAAATTTGTTGTTATTTCTGCTATGATTTCACTAATGTTATATGTTCCAATGTAAAAGAATGTACATTTCTTACTTGCCCAAAATAAATACATAAATAAGTAAATAGATAATAAAATCAACATTCCTTGGAGGTATGATGCTGACTGTAGACTTTGCTCTGTCTGAGGCTTTATTAAACTTTAATCTGAGCTTCATTTTAACACAGTTTGTCTATAAAGAGCTGGTTTAGTTGGAACCACAACAGGAGAGCTGATTTGTCTGTCTCAAGTCTCTCACACATAAAATGATCTAAACAGGACCATGAACACTTACCTGTGATAATAACCTGCGCGTCGTATGGCTCCATGTATCCATCATTGATTCCTGCTCTCTCCGCTTCTCTTTGCTCTTTGGTTTTCTCTGCATCAAAAGGATCGGCGTAATCCTCTAGAATAATTAGCTAAAAACACACAACAAACATCACTTACAATACAAATTCAATATTCATGCTTAAAGCTGCACTATGCAACTTTTCTGATGGAGGTTTGTGTGTTTTCAAGGTATTTTGGTGCATAAAAATGGTAGGAGGAATGGACGAATAGCATCTAAACATCAAACATAAAAGGAGAATCAGATATCTCACTCAAAGGACGCGGTGTCTTTAACAGTGACAGAACCACCGGAAATTCTTGCGCAAGGAGGTCAGTGCATTGTACGGCCCGTTTGATGGGATACAAAGAAGTCAAATGGCATTGTACTGCTTTGATAGAACTGGTAACTTGATCTTGTGAACTAATACAGGGAAAAATAAACAAAAGCTGAATTTGATTGCATGTCAGAGTAGGCACTTTATGGACAGTTTTTAAAGGTCCTATATCATGCAAAATTGACTCTTGCAAATTTTAACTTCAAAAACATGCCTGGAGTTGTGTTTTTCTTTTCATTCACATGTTTGAGTAACACTTATTAGTCTGTCTATATCAGAGCAATACAATCTCCATGGAGACAAACAGGTGGCGGGCCTTCTACCAAAAAAGTTACATAAAATCAAGTTACTCACCGTTGCTTTAATATCCGTTCTCCCCTTGTCGTTTTCAGGCAGGCTTTGCTTCTCACTCTTCCCCGTGAGTTTAGAAGTCTTGTCTTGCTGTTTGTCCACTTTGATCATTCTGCTGATATAGGCTTGAGCCAGACTCGAGCTCCTCACCTGACGCTGCTCTTCTGGTGATGTCCCTGATTCAATCTTGGAGTTTTTCCGACTTTTCCCTGAAGTCAAACTATCCCACACAGTTCCCCCAGACCCTGCGTTATTACGACCCAACTCTATGGCTGAGTTTTTCCTGTTTCTTCCAACTAGAAGACCCCCAACCCCTCCATCTTTTCTGGGACTGCCTTTCAGACTGTCCCGAGAAAAAGAAGGTTTGGATCTGGTCTGCGGACCGGACTCGGAGGCAGAGCGTGCACGTTCATTGCCATTCTTCAAGTTAATAGGGAAATCTTTAAACCACTTTGCCATGACTGTCAGATCAGTGCTGTGGTCCTGTATTTAGCTTATGTGCAAGTTATGGTTAAACCTAAACCTAAAACAAGCTGCACTAGACTTCCACAATTTCAGAGAAAATCAAATGATGCACCATAGGAGGACAGCAACCAAACAGCTATCCCTGTAGTTTGAAAAGAAACTTCTTTAAGGCAAAAAGTCTGAAAAAATTAAAGTTTTTCTTTGAGCCCAGTGAGGATCCCATTCCCTTTGAGTGAGGAGGTGCGCCCAGTCTGTGCCTGAAGAAATAATGAAAATGTAAAGTAAAGCTGTGAGCAGAAGATGTCCCAACAGAGGGGAAGGGCTGATCAAGGGAGGGGAGGGGCTAAGGGAAGGAGGGGAGGGGCTAAGGGAGGGAGGAGAGAGAGATTCACATAAAGCATGAATTATGCTGAAAAATGTAACAGAAAGAAACTAGCTTCAGTTTATCATATGTTTAACAAAGGAAAAAAACATGTACTTTTGTCAATTCATCAGTCGTCAATTCATGTGTGACTATGACCAGTCCCTGACGGAGTTGAAGCTAAAAATGCTACAAACGTCAAATTTTAGACAAAGTTGAAACTTCCCAGAGCACTATAAACAATATAAAAGCTGGTGTCAGTTTTCTAGAGGATATCTCAATTTTAAAGGTCATTTCTACAGCACAGTGCTACATTGATTTTTCTAAATTATGAGAAAAAATAAATAAATAAATAAAATAAAATCCTGACACTTGACACATGGTCAAGTTTAAAAATACATTTGATATTTTTAGGGTCTGAATTTGTTAATGGAGAACGTTTAAGGAGATGAGATTTGTCCTCACCACATTCAGAGACTTTGGAATGGGAGTGGGGTAGGATCAAATTATTGAGGAAAGCCACTGTCTGCTTTAAGAGTTTGAAAAGGATAAAGATATGAAGACTTAATGCTTTACTGTACATCTCAGTACAGATTGAGTAGTTATTAATATAACATTAATAAGATGTTTTATGGTGTTGCAGGGAAACCATTTCACACAAGCCTTGCCACCAAGGAGCTTGTCAACCACTTCACTGACTTCAGCCAGTGTGATGGACAAGTCCACCTCTAAGTCCCCAGCCTCTGCTTCCTCCTTGAAAGACGTGACGGTGGGATTTAGGAAATCCTCAAAGTATTCCTTCCACCGTCTGACAACCTCCCCAGTCAAGGTCAGCAGCTCTCCCCCTGCACTATAAACAGGTTTGGTGAAGCACTGCTTCCTCCTCTTGAGGGGCCAGACGGTTTGCCAGAATTTCTTTGAGGCTGTCCGATAGTCCTCCTCCGTAGCTTCTCCGAACTCCACCCAGCCCTGAATTTTTGGCTCTGCGGTTGCAGGCCATGACCGTGGTGCCCTGTGGGGTGTGCTCCGGGAGTATGGGGTTCGGGGCCCTTTGCTAAGGGCTGTCCGGTCCCTGTATGACCGTAGCAGGAGCTGTGTTCACATTGCCGGCAGTAAGTCAAACCTGTTCCTGGTGCATGTTGGACTTCACCGGGGCTGCCCTTTGTCATCGGTTCTGTTCATTGTATTTATGGACAGATTTTCTAGGTGCAGTCAGGGCCCAGATGGGGTCCAGTTTGAGGACCACAGGATCTTGTCTCTGCTGTTTGCAAATGATGTTGTCCTGTTGGCTTCATCAAGCCAGGACCTGCAATGTGCACTGGGGCGGTTTGCAGCCGAGTGTGAAGTGGCTGGGATGAAGATCAGCCTCTCCAAATCCAAGGGCATGATTCTCAACCAGAAAAAGGTGAAGAGTCTCTCCCAGTGGGTGGAGAGTCCTTGCCTCAAATGGAGGAGTTCAAGTATCTCGGGGTCTTGGTCACAAATGGGGGTAGGATGGAGCGTGAGATTGACAAGTGGATCGGTGCAGTGATATGGTTGCTTTATCGAACTGTTGTAGTGAAGAGGGAGTTGAGCCAAAAGGCAAAGCTCTCAATTTACTGGTCAGTCTACGTTCCTCCCCTCACCTATGGTCATGAGCTCTGGATAATGACCGAAAAGACAAGATCACAGATACAAACAGTCAAAATGAGTTTCCTCCGCAGGGTGGCTGGGCGCTCTCTTAGAGATAGGATGAGGAGCTCAGTCACATGGGAGGAGCTCAGAGTAGAGCTGCTGGTCTTTCATGTTGGCATCTGTTCCAGATGCCTCCTGAGCACCTCCCTCAGGATAGTCCCTCCACTTGAGGCTGAGACTCTCAAAAACTTTTTGTGATCTTTGTGAACACAAGTGAATAAATAATTAAACAAATAAATGACCTTGTCCTTAACTTAGTCCTTTGTTTTTTTCTCTCATCAGTTCTATATTGTATCATGAGAATGAAAAGGAAACTCCACACGCTTTCAACCTTCTCATTTCTTGGACAAAGATGGTAAATTCACCAAAAGATAGGCTTTTCTGCCATTTTCCACTGGTAGGCTATAATGACAATATATAATTATATCTGTTATTTGGTTTCTAATTTTAATCACATTCATGAACATATTGAACTCTTACCTGGAATTATTTTGCAGGTTGAAGGGCTTACGTGGGAGAAGGATTGTCCAAGATGGAGATATTCCTTGTCTTCAGGACTCTTCTCCAGGGCTTCCGCTTCAACAATTTTAATGACAAAGAAATTACGTATTAGTTTTATTATTATTAGGCCTACCTTAGTGGGATAATCATGGTAAATATTTATCATAGTTTTACAAGTGTCAAGTCCGTGAAGAAAAGTTTAAAACAAGGAACAATACACTGAATTCAAAAAAGAAACCCCTCAATTTAATTCATGGGTTTCCGAAAGATGAGAATCTTGGACCCTTGCCCCAGCCAACATCCTACTTATCTTGAGGCAAAATGTAGTCGATTTCGGGTTGCATTAATAATATTCCATTTTACTTGTTACGAGCTATCACCTAATTTACAACCAGTTTTCAGAAACAGTCTTTGTGTTACATTTTTATGTCTACTTCTTTGATTGCAGACAACACACTAATTTGCCGTTGTGGGACAAATAAATATTATCATATCTTTTCTCATCTTTTGAGATGTTTTGCGTGGGCTTATTCCAATCTGAGGATTCATGTCGTGATGGACCAGGGGACATTTTACCTCCTTAAAATCAATCAAGTTGTTCTGGAGAATCGCTGCGCCATCTTGTGACGTATTTCGTAAACATCTCATATAGTTAAATAACTTTTGTTGTTTTTTTTTTTTTTTTTTTTTTTGATAGTTAAGTACTATTAATTCAATAGAATGTACATAAAGGAGTACTAAGAAAACACTCTCGTTCAAGTAAATAATCAACTTCATCAGAAACAAAACGCCGCTGACGAATGATTGACTGAGCATTATATCCAATGAACAACACGCTTCACACCCCTTGTCCCGCCTCATAAACCACTTTTGACCAATCAGAGCGCTCTCCTTGGCTGTGGTGGGCGGGACAGTTACATCCCACACAAAGGTAACAGGTTGCATTTGCATTCGCCGCTCAATGAACTTGTTGCACTGTTTTTTGTCTTCAACTACTTTTCCTTCAACAGCCTTTCTGTTTGGCGTTTATTTTTTAAGTTTTGTAAAGCTTTCGCCGTGTAAAGGATACAAAAATCAAGAAAGAACATCGGGAAAACTCCTGGAAAGAGGTATGTTTGTAAATCAATTTGGATAAAACCCGGACAGCTAGAAAACCAGACATGCGCATCTTCTCATTTATATGTACGATTTTGGTTAAAGTTTTCTGCTTTCACAATAAAAATTTTACTCATTTGCTGGCAGATATGTTGTGCTCATGTAATTACTGTTGCAGTTTTAGTAGCCCTAAAGCTAACGCTGTTACGATGTGGTGTTTACTTATCGCAGTGCCAGGGTCCAGCCTTTTGAATAGCAAAATCTTATCATTCATCTCTAATGCTCCAGATTTATTTGGATCTAACAAACTTTATACATCAAAAATAAGTGTATTTAAATGTCAAAGTTGCATAAAACGCCTAGTTGTTTTATAGAGCACCTGTTACCCCCAAGGGACTCATGGCTGGAAAAAAAATATACATTTGGGACCACAGACTCAGAGTTATTTGGAAATAATAATAATAATAATAATAACCCCATACTCTAAATTACTCTGTATGAAGATGTATTATTTAATGCAAAATCTAAAGTTTAGATTAGAAAAAAGTAGTTACTATCTGACATTTGATTGATCGAGTAGCTATATACAATAATCTGTTTACTATAACGAAGCTTACCAAATCAACACTCCCTTTTCCACATATAACCTATTCATTATGATACAAAAACACAGAAAGAGGGTGACAAGAGAGGGACAAGTGTGGAATGTGGGGTAAGGGAGGGGCATCTTTGTAACATTACTACATTTGCTGTTACATTTGTGTACGATTTTTACTTTAGCAACATCTGAAGCATTCCTTTGTCATGCGGATGAAGTTGAAAGGGGGGATGAATGGACGTTTGTTTGCGCTGAAAGAGTAGAGGTAAGTTTGGAGAGATAGAAAGAAAGAGAGTGAAAGAGGGAGAGTGAGAAAGATTGACTTGTAGACACAGCCTGCTGGTTTCATGTCAAGAATGCACCAGGAGGAGAGGGAGGAAATACCCCGGGGACCACCAGAGCTCGCTGTCCTGTACCGGGACAGACTACCATGAACTGCTCCTTTGTCCTACTGTTACTTAAACCCTCTTGTCCTTTTCTATATAATCATTCACCTGTGAGAAACACTTTTATAGGATGTTCTTTCTTTATTGTGGGCTGTATAAGTCCACTATTTGTTGTTTATGAGGTTATGAGGTTTTGAAAAAAATATAAATATAATAAATGAAAGATTTCCTGGAATTTCCTACACAGTATATTGCATAAAGCTCTGGAGCATTTGGTATTTTATTGCCAAAAAACTTGAAAAACATGCATTCTTACTGTGAGTGGGGTTGCCTCTCCACAGACCTGTAACTTAGCCTGTTGGCATCACCTGATTGAGTTTAATAATGTCATACTGTGGAACTTTCCAGGCAATGTAGTAATATCTCTCAGGGCGCAAGCAGGTGGGAGATCCTCCCCCAAAGCGTGGAGCATCTTTAAGTTAAATTGTTTATTTAAATGGAGCAAATGCATGATTTTTTTCCTGTTTTGTGATGTAAATTGCATAAAAAGACTTAGACTCTATACCGATTCTAATTTAAAAGCACTTTCAGACAAAATTATGTAATTTTCAACATTAAATCATAGTACTTTCTTTTGTATTACCATGTGGCCTTGAGTCATCCAGGCAGGTTACATTGGTCCAAGGTATATGTGGTCTTATAATAGTTATAGCTGATATAGCTCAAGATCATTCTAAAGCTATTCAGGAAGGGTTCATTTTTGTCCTGTCCTGACTTTTTTAGTATCGATATTTGCACAAATAAATATCAAGTTTTGCTACCAAATTTTCAATATTTTTGACAAGTGTACAGTAGACTCTGGGTCCCTTTAACCCAAGGGAACGTCTGGTAATTTTAAACCTATACTATGACTATAATGTTAACAGGTTAAACAAGCTGGTCAAAATAAGTATGCAACCTAACTCAGTCCATGTCAGTGATACAGGTGTGGGAACCAAGCAGACCTTTAATGTGTGGACAAAAACGCCCTCCTCATCCTCATTTTGTTTCTTAAATGGAAAATAGCACAGCCAAAATATTCAATTACATCTTAAAAGAAAATAGACTGGTATTGGTTACGGGCTAAACAGTATCCTTATCTTAAGGTCCCTTAAAACTGATCGAAAGAAGTTAGCAACATTTGTTATGATTGTTACAGACAGTACATCCACAAAAGTAACTGAAAACACAACACATTTTATGGGGTCTTATGTATAATTTTGTGGGGTCTTATAATCACCTGCCTTGTCAATGTCCTCAAACATGTCCTGAAATCCTTAAGATTCAGAATGATTCTTGTCTTCTCTCAAATTAAAATTCTTCTAAATGAATCCTATTATTGGTTATCTTGAAAAATGCATTATGTTGGTTGGGAAATGTATTTTGATCTAAGGTTTTGAGCCCTATACACAGACTGGTGTCAAAATGTCCATGTTAGGAGATAGTTAGTTGCATTCCCAGAGTTGCTGGCCTTATTTTCCGCCCCACATCAGGTGAACAATGGGATGGGCTGCCCTTTTGCCCTGGCTCCTCTGAGAACTAGGACTGTTCTGCTCTTGATGCGTCAATCAGTTCCCAAGCCTGTCATGAAAACACATTTGAAATGAGATATATTGATGCAGAAAATGTTCAGATAAGATAAGATAATCCGTTATTTGTCCCACAATGGCGAAATTACTGTAAATTAACATTGTACTTAACATTCAAGAACAGCAGGGATATAAGAACGTGCAATCAAAATAATAAAGATTTACAACAGACATAAAATCTAACATAACACTGTGCCAGCAGAGTACAGCTGTAAGGATAAAAAACAAGTGGCTCTGACTGTGGTTATGAACAATGCAGCATATGGACAAGCATAAATAGCAGTTGAAGTGACTTATAGTGTATTATATTATTTGTACAATAGGTGGCTATAACTATGGATTATCTATAGTGCAGCATATGGACAGATTAAATAAATGAATAGCAGTTTAAGTTAAGTGGTTAAGTGACTTGCACCAGGTAGAGGACAAATTTTGCAATAATCAATAACACTAATCCTATTAAAGCATGCATCCTAGTAAAATCCTTTCTAAATATCAACCTTTATCATTTACTTTTATTTAAGCAGCATTGTGAAACAAGAGCCTTAACTGCTGCACCACTATGCCACCAAAACAAAATTAAAACAAAAAGGAAACATCTACTGAATAAAAAGCACAATGAACCATTTTGTAGTTTGTTAGAATGTTTACATCAAAAAGTCCTCAAAATGTCACCTATAAGAAGTTAAAATCCTGAAAATAAGATAAAGTGCACTTGTGCAAACAAATGTATCACAAATTAAGATGTAATATTTGGTCTTCTCAGTTGAGCTTGACCTTGATGTGAAGAGGCTGCAGCCTCCACGCTCCGATGCCCTAACCTGCTGTGACAGAGCGCTTCCTCTGTGTTTCCCAAAGGGTCTAAAAAAAAAAAAGACCCCAGTGCAGCTCAGAACAAGTCTGTCTGTGCAGAGGACAAACACAATTCTCAAGATATGGGATAGTTTCAAATTGTGTCCTTTCTTTTATTTTGTACTTGAAAAATGGATTCTTTGGGATCATTATGCCAGGGGTGGGGACACAATGCGCACATTAGCAAACGCTGTCAAAAAAGTTTTGAAATAGTCTGAAAACTCGTGGTTTTAAATTTTCAGGAGCCTGTGATAAATAAGAGCGCTCATGGTCTGTTTGATTTTCAACAAAAAGATGATAGTGAGTAAGTGAACAACTGTTGGCTAAAGCCAGCCAGCTTCTGACTGTAATTTTATGTGTTAGACTTGTTTAACAGCACAAATCAGCTCATCTCTTGGAATACCAGCTAAGTCAGTCCTTTATGGTCAGATTGTATTAAAATAAAGCTCAGATTAAAGTCTAATAAAGGTAATGTTGATGACATCAGCTGCAAAGTATTATTATACTTGTTTTTTTTGGTACCAGTACCTGAACAATACTTTTTTTTCCATACCTATTGTTGTATTAATCACTACATAGAAAGAGAAAACATAACTACCAAACAATACTTTCTAAAGTACTCACCTGGCATTTTTTTCTGTACTAGTTTTGGTACCTTTTTTGAACAAGTAGTACCTTAGCTTTTTGTCACTGTTCTGGCATCTTTAACAGTATCCACCCCTAATAACGTTACTCAAAAACCTTGCCCAAGTGACTCAGTATCACTCATCCACTTTAGAGAAGTCATCTATCTGTTAATTAGATATGTTTCGTCAGTATTTGCAAGGTTTACAACCTTTGATCTATGATTGGTGGTGACCATTGAAATTTCTATGTTAGTCTTACAGCTGACCCAGTTTGAACTGAATTTATCATTTATCTGTCATATATAGTTTTGTACTGCAGTCTGATGAATGTGTTTTGCTGGCCATTCATTGCTGCTGTGGGCTGTCCTCAGACACTTGAGTTTATCAGCATGAAGTACTGATAAGAAGAGAGAGAGGAGTGTTTTTCTCTGCCTCTTTCACCTTGAAAAAACTGGACAAGGAAGTGAAGGTGAAGAAGTTATAATGGGGTGCTGGTTTTGAAGTGAGTTAAATGAACCATGAGTGTGTAATGACATGGATAATATGCCCTTTTTGCGTGACCCCACAAAGCACTGGGAAAGAGTGTGACGTCATACGATTACCAGACTGGAACACAGTATCTGAAAAGGTGTAATTAGTTTCAATAGGGGATAAAATTGTTTTACAGTTACTCATAGTCAAGTTATTATCAAAGTCCATGACAGGGAGGAACATAACGGCTGAAGAAATCGCTACAAACAGAAACAAAATGGTGACACAATACAAAAATGTCAAACTTGATTTTCTAGCTTTCCTTAAAGGGGACAGAATATGCAAAATCAAAATTCATGATATTTTAACAATTGTACTTTGCCTTCTCAGTTACTCACTTAAACAAATTGTATTAAAAGTGATTCTTGTATATTTTAGTGAACTTTATTCTCCTATGTTCAAGGCGGTATTGCTTTGAAAATATCTGTTTTCTCCCAGCCCCTATACACGCCCATTACTACATGATCTTGTCCTAGTGAATTAATACCTAGTTTTATCAGTATCTGGGTATCGATTCCTTCCCATTTCCTTCCGATTTCCAATCCGTTAAACAAGCCGGACCAGTTGTTTTGGTTTAATTTCAGTTACAAAGTTGTTATTGTTGATGGAGATGTGTGTGCTCCCTGTATTTTGTGTCGAGCTGAGAAAGTTGCAAAAGCAGTTGGAGGGAAAGTGATCTGTGGGTGTGCGTTTCAGGTTAATGACTAATGGAGCCGTGAGAGCGAAGTCCACACTAGTCGTCACAAGCCCGAAACTTCAAATCTCTGTCCCTGTGTTTGTCTAAGAAGGTTTGTTTACACACACTCCGCAAGGCCAAAGAAATGCTAGTTTTTGTGTATTTAACATACTTGAATACATTTATCAGAACTAAACCTAAACTCTACAGAGGAACTGAAAAGTGCCCTTTTTGGAGGCATAAATTATCAGACCAACACTGCACTTTAACAACATATTTTATGTTTTTGTATTACTTTCCTGTATGAATGCTTATCTTATTTGCTGATAATGTTTGATTTTAACAATTTATACAGTTTAATACAATTAGTGTATATACAACATATACAGCTGATCTGGTAAAAATGATTATTGTTACAAAGAACAAAACAAAGTTACTACTGTACTTACTTTCTGGCATCACTGTAAAATGGTACAGCATGTGTTTATTTATTCAATATTTCACCAGGTTGATCAATTGAAAGCACCTTCTCTTTTATGATGACAGCCATCTTTTATGGAAGTTGGAGATCTTGATAATCTCAATTGTTTTGTCAGAGAGAACTTGAATATTGAGTTTTGGCTCTATAAGTATTATTAAAAAGCAATTCAGACCTTCAGCAAAAAAACTGATTAAAAATAAAAAGGTAAAAAGTGTATTTTTACTGTTGTGCTGTACCTGAACCAAGACATTTACAGACACATTTAGCACATTAGATATTTAGATCCATTGATACTGTTATTGAGAAAATCCAAATAACTGTCAAGATATTATTTTCTGTCAATATTACCCAGCCTTAATCTTCTATACAGTAACTTAATTCCATTCTTTTCCTTGTTTCATAGAATGAGCACTTCCTCCTCTGACCGCAAAACCCCGGTGGATTATGGTGTTCAGATCCGCTTCATCAATGACCTCCACGACGGCGGCGGGGGGCTGCCCCGGCTGTCCCCCGCCGCCGTCGGGCAGCCCCCTCGGCCTAAGTCACAGTCACCCTCCAAGTACGGCGTGGCTGTGCGAGTCCAGGGCATCGCCGGGCAGCCATACGTGGTGCTCAAAGACGGACAGAAAGGAGACTCGTACGGTGTGCAGCTCAGGACAAACTACCCCCCAGGTTATGGCAGTCTTCCGCGCAGAAAGGACAAGTCTGACCCGAGAACGCGCGGAGAGGACGTAGACGGCCAAGGGGGTGCGCTGCGGAGGGCACAGTCCCACGGATCACTTTTGGATCGGGATGGAGACGCAGAGGATTTTCACCAGTCTAGACTCCCAGCTGAGGGCAAGTCTGGGAGCTATGGGAACCTGGATGGAGGAAATGCAGTGAGGGTTAACAGTAGAAACGGCGTGGAGATGAATACATGGGCCTTTAATGATCAGAACAAGCAAACAAACACTAACAGACAAACACACCGCTTTGATGGAGGCCAGAGCAGAGCCCCTTCTTCTGTCCCCCCTCCTTACCCCTACACGTCTCCCCCCTCCTCCACGCACAGCAGCCTGGGACGCAGCCAACAACCTGTCAGCAAAAGTCCTGCTAATCAGTGGACAGGGAGACAAGCTAACCTGACAGAAACACAAGTAAGTACGCCGCTCCCACACTGCTATTATAAGTGTGCACCTGGTTATTTGAGTCACCCGCACCATGTGGAAGAGCAGTTGTCTGATCTGTTTGTTAAGGTGACGCCTGACCTTTTGCTGGACCAGGGGCAGAGTGCAGAGGCCAGCAGTGAGGAGCAGCAGATGATGCAGACCATTTACAACATCCTAAGAGAAGGGTAACGTGTCGTGATAAAATAATAATCAATCAGGATGGAGAGAAGGTTTCAGCAGTGGTCATATGGACACTGTTTCAGCTCCCATTTACCCTGCTCTGAATTAATTGAAATATTGTCGTTTACTAGCTAACATCATTAAAGGTCCTTGTTTTAGAGGTTTTACAAGTAGTCATAGAATATAAATGAAAAGGCAGTAGACAGTCTGGATTTCTCATGTAGAAGAAGTTTATTACAAATCACAATGGCCAAGTCATTTGAACGGTCAGTACTAGGGATGGGCATTCGATGAAATTTTCTTAATCGATCGTCGGAAGAATTAACGATCGATTATCGATTAATCATTAACGTTTTTATATTAAAATGATCATCATTATTATTACTATCTGCACTACTAATCTGCATAAATAAATTCAACTTTACGACATATAAACCGTAACGACTCTAGAGCCACATCAATCCGTTTGACATTATAACGTGTTTAATTCATTTTTGCGCAACTCTCACAGAAACGAAACTTAAAACCGCATCGCTAATTTGCATAAACTCAGCGAAGATAAAAATACAGTACTCTTGTGTCGCTGATGCGGTCAATTTCTGTCGGATTAAAAGACATGACTCAGTGGAATACAGGTTAGTGTGACCATATTTGCGTTTGTCAAAACCAGGACACTGTATGAGGGGTGGGGTGCGGGGCCTCGTCATCGACATTGCGCGACTCTCACCTGGTAAAGCTTTTTTCCACTGGACACCGAAACATATGTGCTGCTTTGTATACTCTGCACATGGACTCCCACTTGTCCCGAATGCAACAGAAAGCGTGGAATTTCTTGTATAAATCATCGTTAAATACACATTTGTGCTTCGGCACGCTGCAGGCTGACCTACTGTTTGTGTCTTGCTCCTTCTGAGTGCAGAGAGCTACATGTACGGACCCCTGTTTGGTCAAACTACGCTACGCACAGCAACCTACATTCGGTTTGTCGATTAAAATTAACGTAATCGATGAAATTCTTAATGATCAATTATCGATTAATCGATTAATCATGACCATCCCTAGTCAGTACACAGCAAAAAGTGGAGTGTTAAAGTTGACTCTCACGGAATCAGATTTAACATTTTCTCAGGGTTTATATGAGTCCAATCTGGTCTAGAGTTAATTTAACATTTTTGGAAATGTTAATTAAGTAACACTGGACCAAAGTTTCTGTTTAACCCCAAAATCAAGAGTTATATTAACATTTTGAGAGTAAATGGGTAACACTTTGTAGGGTTACCCTGGATTTAACACACAGAGATGTTGTATTTTTACACTTTATTTTTGTTAATTTAAGATGAAATTATGTACAGAACTGGTTCAAACTGGTCTTCTCTAGCTGGAGTTTGAAGTGGTGGGTGCGAGGAGCCACGTTAACACTAAGGGAAGTTGAATTAACTTCAGTCAAGTATATCATATCAACAAAAACAACTCTGTTCAAAACAACAAATATACTATGAAATATTTTACCCTGAAATTTTAACTCTCCAGTTTTTAGTATTGTCACACATCCAATCCCTGGTGATGCTTCCACGTGGAGAGTTTAAATACTGTCTGTAGTGCGCCTTATCAAAGGACAGGTTGAATGGCTGTGCATATGTCAGCAGACGACATGAGTCATCTAGATGTTATGTTGATATGGTGCTCTAGCTTGACTGTGCGTATGACCAGCGTCCAGTTTGACCCAATAACATTAGTGATTATTCTGTTATTTCCTCATAGTCCTAACAGTTTTTACAGGACGTTAGCTAGTAAACACGAGCAGGGCAGTTTTACTCTAAAACTCAGAGTAGGATATAGGAATCCCAGTGTCTCAAACCATTTTCATCAATTGAAAATGTCTTCTGGATAGGAGCTGAAACATCTTGATTGTAACAGTGACCACCACTGAAACCTTTTCTACACTGAACCACTCTTGGATGAATCAGTGATTACACTCAGATCAATCAGGATGAATCCGTTAATCAGTTGATTTGCTTATAGATGTCACATTATATATAAAGTAATGTAATAATGTAATTGAAATCTGATCTAAGAAAAGGTATAGTATGTATGATACTAACTTGTGAATCAGATGTATGATTTTATTTTTTGTGCATTTTTATCTTCTATAAATAATCACAACACTAAAATAATGAAATCTCACAGGCTATGGCGGCACAAATACCTTCTAGAGTCGTAATTTTCTTGTGGAGTTTAATGTCACTTATTGCTTGTATTTCACATTCAAGCAGTCTTTTTAAACATGTTTGTTACTTTTCATGTGAATGACAATGCCAGGAAGAATTTTAGCCTTGAAGGGGCACCATAGTCTCTTATATTAACAGGAAACACTGTAATCTTTTGAACAGTATTAGATTTTTTCCCCCCCAAAATCTGTATCTCCTTTCATGTTAAACACTTTTTCCTTGCCCAAATGTGACTGAGGTCTATACATGTCAGTCAGCATGGAGCCGGAATTAAAAATCTCATTAATTTTTCCAATAGACTGAAAAAAAAGAATGTTTGAAAGATTACTCAGGACTAATCAGGTATGTGGTGACTGTTTTTTGACTAAAAACAACCACATTATGGATATTAGTTACCATGGAGCTGATTGGCCTCCGCAGTCCCTTTGAACTCTTAATAATTTAATTTTTCGAAAGATCCATGGAAAAAATGAATGGAAAATTTACTTCCTCAACTGGAGCTTGTGGTTGAGCTCCATTCTGTATTGGTCTTAATATAAAACAGAATCATACATTCTTTTAATTTTCTTGACTTCATCAGAACAAATGACAGTGATATCGTCATCAAGCACAAAGTCAAGGTCATCGCTCAGACCTTTAAGGTGAGTTTGATGTGACATGCACTTTCAATATTATAGTTTTACAGTTATTTTTGTCCACTTAAAGGATTCTTTTTTCACACTTCCTCCTGTAGCTCAAAGAAAAAGTGTGTGAAGATCTGACCAGAGAGAGATCGGAGCTCCAGAGGAAAGTGTCAGAGCTCCATTTGGCCTTGCAACAGGAGAGAAGGGTACGTCTGCATAGTGTCAGATAAAAAAAAATAAAAATTAAATTCAGACAGCAAAAGTATCATTATTGCAACATGAGTAACACAGTATTGATATCACAACTAAAACATGCTACAAAAATAATAAGTATGTTGTCATGATCTTTATCATTTAGACCTAAGGTGTTGCTCCAGATTTAGATTTAGACTTCATTTTACATTTTTGTTTTCAGTTAATAAAAGGCCAGTACCTGATTTTGAACCATGAGTGAAGAACATTACAGAATGAATAGTCCCGTCTCTCACTCTAATGTTGAACCATGAGTATTGGATAGTCACAGGCAGATGTTCCCAAATGGTTTTCATCCATCAATACCTCAGATTGGATAAAATTGTTCTAAATTGTTTCCTTATGGTTCTTTTCCATAAAATGTACTGTGATTTGAATTGAATAAATAAATAGATCATAAATGCACACGTTATTAAATAATATTGGTATAGCAATATTTTCAAAAGTTATAAAATACTGCATGTTATTCCTTTAGTACAAATGAATGTTTGTCAAATACATGTACTGGTCATTTGATGGTCTTGTTAAACCACAGTGCTGTTTAAATGCACTTTTTGCCTTGTCTAATTGAGAATCGCTGACATCCTGAATGTAACCTACCACTTTACCTGGGCTCTAATTACACAGATCATGCACTGTGCAATTCTGTAAGTGCCGTCCTAGACTCAGCAAAACACAAGCAGGACCAAATACATTAATTATAGAAATAGTTCACTGGGTTTGTATTTACTTAATGGCTGGTAGCCTTTTATTTTCTGCTAATCTGAACTGCGTTCTTAGAGTGGCCTCGAGATTAATCCACAGATTAATCCTTAAATCGCTCTTGTCTGGGAAAATGTGCACAGACACTCATCCAGGCTCCGTAAAGACTCATTATGCAGGTTTAAGGAAGTTGTGTAGTTCCTAATCTCCAGCAGCTCTCAAGAACTCAATCCATTATGCATTATTGATTGGAGTGTGTGTATGTTTGTGCCAAACTGTTTCTGCATCTCCAAAGCCCTTTGTTTTTCATACAAATTTAGATGTTAAAGGAGGATTATGTAACTTTTCTGGTGGACGGTACAACATTTTGTCTCCATAGCGATGTTGTTGTTTTCGCCTAGAACATTCCACGAAATGGTAGAAAATCTCCAAGGAGCAGATTGTGGAACATTCCAGAGAAAGCAATAATATCTCCATGAGAGAAGCAGGTGATGGACTCTCCACCAGAAAACTACCATCATGCATTTTATCTTTATGAATGCTTAATACTGTCCATGAGGAGATATGTCATTTGTTTTCATAGCTATTAACAATTCAAGGTAAAATAATATAGAATCACATGCATTTGCGATCATTTATGCAGTCTAAACTACAGGATTAGTTTTTTGCAATTTGCTGAAGCAGAACAAAACAAAAATTAACAAACTAGAACAAAATATTATCTATTACATCTATGTATTACAGTTTATTTCTGTCTGTGCCCAGGACTCCATTAACAACTCCAGTGCCACTCTGAAAGCTGAGCTGGAGTCGTGTCTGGATGAAAATCTGCAACTCCGAGAGCTGCACGACCGCATGAAGAAAGAGTTAAACGAAACCCAATCCGAGTGAGGACACACAAGAATACACTATCTGAAACACACACACACCAGGAAACAAGAGCTCTATAGTACTATGAGCAGATTCAGTACACAGCTCTGAACAACATGGCCTTGTGGTCAACCATCCACTGTCACCATTTTATTAAACAAGCACTTACTGTTGCTCTTACAGAATAGTGTAGTAATAATGATGATGCCTTACACTTGTAATGCGTTTTACAGATTTCACAAAGCCTCTCAAAGTACACACTGTGGACATTATTAGTTCACTCCATACTCAGTGGTGATGATAAGATACTATTGTGTAAGACTGACAGAGGAGAGGCTGCCAGTCTGCACCATCGGTCCCTCCAAACACCGCCATTCATTCACACCCACCACATTCATACTAGGCAAGATGGTGGAAGTGTCTTGCCTAAGGACACAACAAATGTGTTTTGAAAAGGAATCGATTCTCTAGCCTTTGGGTTAGGAGACAACTGCTCTAAGAGGACTAAACCAAGTCTAAAAAATACTAAACCTGGTCTCAGATTGGTTTAAATCAAGTTTTAAGTATTTCTAAGCTAGGTCTATTCCAAAAGTGGACACCAACGAGGATAAAATTTAGCCTACTCTAAATGAAATTAAAACTATTCTAAAACTAAAACACAGCTCGAGTAACACCAGAAGTAACCCACTGCAGTTTGAGAAACACTGTGATCAATGACAAAGACATTTTCAACCAAACACGGATGCTCTCTCTCCTCTCAGACTGACGCAGCTGCGGATGGACCGGGAAAATGCAGAGGCCCGGGCCAGAAATATGGAGGACCAACTGGCCGAGCTTCAAGATGAGATCCGAAAAGAAAACAACAACAAAACTGTAATTCTCTCTGATTATAAACACTTTACCCCTGCATAATATGTGTAATATGCACATCTAACTACTTTTGATTTAGTGTTGGGGGCAATACGGCCATATAAACTTCACGTAGAGCATGACAGAGACTGACCAATAGGAGAAGTGGATGGGGAAAAGTGTCGGTGCTTGAGCACAGTAGTAATCTAGAGCTGTATTAAACAGACAAACAGTGAATCACAACATGACTCAAGATATGAAATCACTAACACAGAATGTAAGTTTCCTGGAACTAACTGTGACGTGACGTTATGTGGTTCTCTAGATAGATCTTTAAACAATGATTCAGTCCTTTTCAGTTTTATCTACAGGGTAGCCGCAGGGTCTTAAAAGTCTTAAAAAGGTTTTAAATTTTATGTTCCTAAATTAAGGCCTTAAAAAGTCTTAAATTATGTTGTCCAAGTCTTATTTTTTTCACAAAGGTCTTAAATTTGATTAGCCTGTTTTTTTGTAAACTCAACCAGGCTGCAGTGCAATGTTAAATGGAGGGAGGAAAAGAAAACAACAACGTGAACGTGAATGAACGTAAATTTGGGGTGTGCGCAAGCAATAATTAGTTTGTCTTGTTAGAATGTTATAAATTATTTTTTGGCCATCTTACAAGCAATGAATAGTAATGGTCATTATTAGAATTGGATCTTGTGTTTTTTGCCCGCATAATGGGTGTAATGTTGGTCTTAATTTTCATTTATTTGGTCTTAAAAAGGTCTTTAAAAGTCTAAAATTTGCGGTAGTCAGACCCTGTATCTACGCTGCTCTGTTTGAGTGACAGGTGAATTTGACCAATCACAGTGAATTGTGAGCTCTCAGAAGAAGCAGATAGTTTTAGTTTAATTTTGACATGAACATAAAACTACTAAATACACCTGACACATTATAAAAGCTAAACTGGGATGTATTTTATTTGCTATTGCTATTCTTTGAGTCAACAGAAATATCTGATATTAAACACCTTGCACCTGCTGTTCCATTTAAAACAATCTGGGTCAAAAGCACCTTTAATAGGAAACCTGAACTAAATGGGCCATTGCTGTTACGCAGTCCTTTAAACTGATGTATTTTCTGTGTTTAGGACCTGATGTCTTGCCAAAACGAGATGACGGAGATCTGTCAGGCCAAGCAGAAATTGGAGGACACCTTAAGGCAGAGAGAGAGGGAGCTCACAGCTTTAAAAGGGGCTCTGAAGGAGGAGGTGGCATCTCACGACAAAGAGCTGGAGCGGCTGAGGGAGCAGTACAGTACAGACATGGAAAAGCTCCGCAGCAGCATGGAGCAGGTGTCTCAGGTACAAACAGCACAGTAAGCAAAAAGAACAAGAAGTCATCTGTTAGTGTGGATATGGAAAACTGCACTATACAGAGAATTAGAGTACTGAGAAAAAAAAAGGCAGCAAGCAGCATTCTGGGAAAACAGAATTGTGTACAATTAGTATTCACTGGTTTCAGTCACATGGGGTTTTGAGGACTTTGAGGCCTATTTATTTTGATTTTGTTTCTTTTATTTTGAAACATGTGCCATTATTCACTTAGATCCACAAATTTCATCCAGCTATCTTGCAACATTTGAAATAAATATCCATAAAATGTCAAAAGATATAGTATTTTGTTTTGATTTCTGTGTCAGCGGCTCTGCATTTCATCAGTCTGAAACTAATGCATGTCAAATCTAAGGTTGTGATGATCAATAAATGGCCAAAATATAAAAAAAGATCACTGCCTGTACAAAAGAGCAGTTTGTCCTAACTGAGGACTAAATTAACACATTTAACAATTGTAAGCTATTGGTGATGACAACTGCATTATGCATGTAAACTTGTTTGTAAAAATGAGCTTTACGATTAGACATAATTTTACTAAGACTAGTCAGAGGAGTATTCTTCTACTGTTAAATGTTATGGCCTTTAAGATGTCTGAGACTGAGTAGTTGTTTTTGTGTTGTAGTCTCATGCAGGCATTGAGGCTGAGCGGCTGAGAGTCAATGCTTCAGTGCGCACTCTTCAGCAGCAATTAGAAGACTGCAGAGACGAGAGCAGCCACTGGATGGAGCAGTTTCACAACACAAGGGATGAACTGCGAACCACTAAGCAAGAGTAAGTAAGCCTGTAGCTTTTTAAAGGCTGTTGTTGCATTCACTTCTTGGTTTTGGGGTTTCCAAGGTTTCCAAAGCATCCAGATGTGTCACATTTTTTGCATGTACTTCACTACTAATGTGTCTTTTTCTTTTATATTTCTCTGGCGTTCCCTCTGTCAGTGAGACGCCCAACAGCCCTGAAACACTGTGAGAGTCAACATAGGACATAGATATGTTTTATGTGTTGCTGTAGAAGCAGTAGCTCTACTAACCCCTAAATGTAGTCGCTTTTAGCTGTAAAACCATCCACAACCACTTTTCAACTGTCAACTTGATGATCAACTATTATCGATGCTAAAATGAAACCTCCACCTTTTGATGTCATCAGGTGGAGGAAATTCCTTTTTCACTAGACTATTTCTTATCATTTCCACACTTTAATCATCTTAATTACACAACCAAACAACACTATGGTTATATTTTTTATCAATATAATTTATTGAACGATAAGTCCTTATAGTGGAGAAAGTGAACAGTGCAGTTTAAGTTAATACAGTAATTATCATGACAGCTCTAAATGTAACACCAAAGCTGAATGAAGCTCAACTGTTTACAACTCCATATAATCAATAATACAGGCCCTTTAACAAAGAAAAGTTGAAACATGTAACTTTGGTTGAATGTATGTTGCTCTGACCATTTTTACATGAGTTGTGGGATTGTTTTTTGTATGTAGAAATGCATATTTTCCTTTTAAATTGTTCCTGAATTACTGTCCAATTGACTCAATCTGTATTTACATGAGGAATAATAAACTATTGTGTCATTATTAACTCCAATCCAACTGATTTTCATTAAATAAGAAAGCCAACTGGATGGAGGTTTAATGTATATAATTTATATCTCTGGTTGTTTAGACTTCTACAGTCTCGTTTGGAAAAAGAAGAGTTTGAGGAGGAACTGAAGGAGCTGAAGGAGAGAGTAACCACCATAAAACAACAGACGCCACCAGACTCCAGCCAAACACAGACTCTCAGTCAGGTACATTTAAACAGACACCACTAAGCATTTATTATTTTAACATCTGAAATTGTGTGAATTTTATCTAGGTGTGTTTAGGAAGGTCCTTTTGGTGGCATGCAAGACCTTTTGCAGTTGTAATATTTGGTTGTTTTAGCGTTAACTGAAATATAGTAATGATTTTAGACCTGGTTTAGCCCTAGTTATAGACCTGGTACTCAGAAAGCCATATCTTTTCTTAGGTGATACTTGATGTGAAGCTTTAGAACCAATAGTACATAGATTTTTGTATTGTATATTTATATTATTGTGTGCACATGCCCTGAGACAGATGGAAAGTAGCTCTAAATCTGGTGCACATTCAAACTTCTGAATTTGTATACAAAAGGAATAGACTAATAAGATAAGATGATGTCGAGTAAAAGTTTATCAATTGTTTTATTCTGTTATAGGAGCTCCAGAAATGCACTGCAGACCTTCAGAAATCCCAACTTGAGTTGGAAAAGCAGCGGACTCAGTTTGATAAGAAAGTGATGGAGATGATTGCTCTGAAGAAGTCTCATCAGGACCAAGAGGCAGAGCTGAAATATGAGATTGACCGGCTTAAAGAGCAGTTACAGAGAGCGAAAGGGGACATCAGCAAGGCACAGGAGAAGAGCAAAAAGGTCACTTTAAATGAATCACATTATACTTATATAAAACCTTCACATAGGACTAAAACAACTTAAAGTTTGTTGCACCTTTAGTTATATATTTATTTGTCCCTAAATAGTAAAAATCCTGCATGCATTCTGAATACATATTTTTGGTACATGTATTAAGTTCCTTGGCAACATTGTCCTTAGATCCATGAATAAATCCAACTGTACAACTTGTTTTTTCGCTCTTAGCTGCCGGACCCAGCCACCATCTCAGATTTGGAGCAAAAGCTTAGTGAAGCGAAAAGTGAAGCCAGTCAGCTGAAAGAGAAGCTGTCTGCGACGGAGAAGGAGCTGGAGGGCACTAGGACCCAGCTGAAGAGGTCTGAGCTTGATTTTACAGTTGCTGAAGATGCACAGAAAGCCCAAGAAGAGGTCAACATACGTCTCAAAGAAAAAATATCACGTTTGGAGGTAAGAGTTCTTAATGAATGTATGACACACACAGTATTATGGGTATTCATGGGTTTTTCAGCTTCCTGTTGTATGGTGGCTATTCAAAATATGTAATATTCAGTTTTGAATTGTTCATTACAACGGTTCAAACTATAAGGCATATAGTTTTCATATTTTTTCTACATCAGTTGTGGTAAATATTTATCGTAGTTTTGCATCAATCAAGTGGCTGTTAGAGAATTGATTTAACAATTTAAAATTCATTTAAACATTAATTTAAGAAAGTTAATGTCCTGTAGTATTTAATTTCACAAATGCTTACTATTGTGTAAATTAGACGAGCTTTGGCCTTGGGTAACTTGGGTAACTATTTATGGCACGTGTGCTGCCTCTGTTCAAAAAGTAAGTAGAATCATAAACTTCATCAAAATTGTCAGAATGGGAAAGTAACCAGTATTTTTAGCAAAATCTTAAATTAGTCAACTATGTTAAGGGAAAGGGGTAGTGAACTGTCAAAACCTGTGCACTTTAAACATTAACAAGCCCTTTGAGGCTGTTGTGATTTCACACTCTACAATAAGGACCCTACTTTAATTTAACTGAACTCTTTTGTGCCTTTTCCAGGCGCAGCTGCTGAACAATGCGACAGAGAGCTCCGAGGCAGAGCTGGCTCTTCACTCAGAGGTCAGAGGACTGAGGTCTGAACTGGACGAAGCCAAAAGGAAAAGCTCCAGACTGAACCAGGAACACAGTGAACTCCTCTTCAGGCTTGAAAACACAGAGAAAGACAAAGATGCACTGAAGCAGACCATTGTTCAGCTGGAGGAGAAGAGACAGCAACTGGAAAAAGCCCTGGACAAACTCACTAAAGAGGTACAGAGCTGTCGTGATGGTGGGAGATACTGACTTAAATTAATACCTTTTTGTGATTTTCTCACTAACAGTATTTATTTATATTCATAAATTAATTAATTAATTTATGTTAATATTTTTGCAATCCATCAGAAATGTGCTAAAGAGATTTGTCAATAATAGTGATTTTTTTATATATATATATATATATATATATATATATATATATATATATAAGTATATTTTATCTCACACTCTTAAGAAGTCTTAAAATATATTATTTTAAGTGTTTTATAAGCAGACCACCAACTGTGATGTCTTCTTACTAACACAACACAAAAATTGTCATTTGACATCTGTAGTTCTGGTTGAGTCCTCTCGATTACAGCAATCAACTGCTAAAGTAACAGTAAAGGTGTATTGATGATTTTTTTTAGGCATTTTTTTTTAAGGAAAATATGACAGTTACACCGCAGGAGATTTGAGTGTTCTTTTGTACCAAAAAATGAAACACAAGTTCATTCTAAAACAAAATGTAATTTATAGAATACATATTTGTGCACAGCTGAGTCACATTTGGAGGAAAAAAAAATAAAATTTGAAAGTCATTGATTACGCTTAAAATGGGCGCCACGTCAAATACCCAATTATAACTCTTTGTGTTAACCTTTTTTAGTAAATGTTCTTGAATCACTGACCAACTCTTTGTCCTTTTTGTCAGTTCGAGTCTCTAGTCGTGTCCTCTAAAGAAGAGTCACGGTTGCTCAAAGTTCAACTGGAGGAGCAGAAAGAGAAGGCACGCAAAGATCTGCAGGAGATACAGCGCCATGGCACGGACGCCCAGACAGAACTGGACCGGAGCCAAGGCAACATCAGGCGAATGGAGGAAGAGGTATCTGATGTCTGCTTAGGAAAATTATCTCTGAGGTTGTTGGATGGTGTCATAATTTCAAAGGCATGGGTTTCAGAATAAGAAAAGGTTAGGGCGATTGCTGTATCGATTAACATTTTAATACAATATAGGATCCCTTTTGAATGAGAAAAAGTCCTCTTCGTGCCTATAACAGGAAAATGAAACCCAGGATTATAAGTTGATGGATACACCTTACTGGTTTAACCAAACTTACAGTTGACAAATATTGAAGGTTGTCACTATTTGTTTAGACCATATCAATCTTACGCTTTAAAGGTTGTATAGAGGATTTTCCAAGGAACGAGAAATCCAGCGACTGTTTGTCCTTTTTCAAATGTTGCGCATGCGTGAAACCACCCCCCCTCCCCTACAGCTCCCTACGTAGAAACGCCTCCTCCCACCTCCTCCTTACGCCAGAAACAGGTTTGTTTACAGCCGGTGTGCTGCACATGACTTGTAAACAACTAACTACAGTGTTGGTTAGGCAAGGCGGAGAAGTGAGGAGCGGGGGGAGCGGGTGCGCGGACATTTCGTGCGCGGACGAGAAGTGAGGAGCAGGGAGAAAAGCGGAGCAGGGAGAGGAGAGAGGAGAGGGGAGCGGTGCGCGGAGATTCCGTGCCCGGAGAAGTGAGGAGCAGGGGGAAGAGCGGATCGGGCAGCGGGGAGAGGAGCAGGAAAGGGGTGCAGAGAAGGGTGCGCAGAGATTCAGTGCGAATGAACTAGCTACAACACGCAGCAGCAAGCGGACTCTTTCTTTGCATTGAAAATTTCATTTTCAGACATAGGATATTGCTTTCGTGTCCTGAAAAACGTTTGTCTAGCTCTTGGAAATAAAGTACGTTAATAAGCAGAAGTGACCTGTCCAGGAGTAATTTGGCGACCAATGCGTCAGTCTTTAGACCCTGCGTCTGCTTCAGTTGCGCCATCGCTGGAATGAATCTTCAAGAATCACCTTAGTTTGGCTTCGCTGCTTTTCCCCTTGTCTTCTTCTTTCAGCGACCTCAAAAACGGACTTTCTTTTGCGGCTAACTGCTCCTGGATTCTTGTCGCCATTGCAACAAACTTTGTGCTAACTGCGAGGAAGATATAGGTAAAAAAAAAGCCGCTAAGAACTGTTGCGTTGGTGGAGTAAACAGCGTCTGTGCGGCTTGCGTCTGTGGACTGCGTGACAGGCGTACGTAAACCACGTACCGGCGGCGCAGGCAAGTCAGTTACGCTAGAAACGTAGGGAGATTGATTGACAGCCTGTCAGCTAACAGATAACGAGGCAGTGTTGTTATCTATTGGCAAATGTTTAGCCCCACCACATCCAGAGTTGATGAATTTTTATTCTCTTTTTTTGGTCATCATAATTACAAGGCTACTGCATCTCTATAATGCTATCATTGACAATTTGAAACAAAAAAAAAATCCTCCATACAACCTTTAAGTCTTTCAACTGACAACGTTCACATTTTAGGGGTTGAATAATAACTTTTTAAAGCTATTGTAAAAATACTATAATTAATTTCATCTTAGTTCTTCCAATTATTGTGGATAGGTAGAGTAATTACAGGTAAAGTAACCAAAAAACAAGGCAAAGTATCAACAATAAACAATCCAAAAAATAATCCTTCCTGATTTGAAGGGTTTTGTGAGGACACTTTCGCCATTCAAAACATAAAACATTTTTTTGAATTGTTTAATCGCTATGGTCACAGAGGACCTTTGCCATAAGTTGAAACTCATGTGTAGGATTTTACAATGTTATGATGACATGTGAACCCAACCAACACACAAACACATACATAATTCATAGGACATGCACGGATGATTTTCTGCATCTCATTTTGGCGAGTACTTGCTACGCCTGACATGTTTGTTTCTAATATTATGATTATTTGTGGTAGATGACACGACTGAAAAAGGAGCTGTTGTTGGCCAGTGAGGAAAGAGACAACCACCAGCTGGACAAAGAACTGCTGACGAACAGACTGCGCCATCTAGAGGTAGAGATGGAGAACGGCAAGAACAGCCAGAATGAGAAAATACGGGAGGTCCGACTCTTGGAGGTAAGAACACATTCTGATAACTCAATTAAATCAATTAAAGGTCCCTATATTGTGTTAAAATGACTTTGAATGTTTAATCATGTCGTACCATCCTCAAAAACATACCTGTGTGTTGTGTTTTATTCATATTCATGTGTTTCTCAGTAATATTTAGTCCATTTCCCTTTTCAGAGCTCATTTAACGTATTTGTATTTTTTTTGTGATCCATGTTTTAAAACCCTCTCTTCAAGGTTCTGAAGTGTAGAATCAAACAGAACACATTTTTTTGGTACACACTATTTGTTGTTGGTTGGATTTTAAAATAATTACAGCACATATACCAAGACTTGGTTGTACAAAGAAGTAATAATGCATGGAATTTGTTTGATGTAATATAGTGCTTTCACTTAGTCTTGGTTTGGACCTGGTTAGAGCCCAGTTTAGTCCTGATATAGACTTGGTTTGGTCCTGGTTTTGTCCAGGTTTAGGCTCTGAACTAGTCCAGTTTCAGCTCTGGGTTTAGTTCCAGTTTTAATGTGTTGTGTTTGTGCAAATGTAAACGTACCCAGTATTTATATTTTTGTTGTATTTTTTAGGACAAGTTGAAGCGTCAGGAGTTGGAGCTGGAGGAGGAGAGGAGCAGTGTGGAGATGCTGACAGAGAGACTGACCCGGAGCAGAGACCAGTTGGATCAGCTGCGCTCAGAGCTGATGCAGGAGAGGTCCTCCAAACAAGACTTGGAGCTGGACAAGAACGCCATGGAGAGACACGTACGCATACACATATACTATCCCCTAAAATTAGACAAACATTGATCTACAAGGGACATTATTTGGACACAGTACCTTAAAAAAATACAATATTAACATTTTACGGTGATCAGTGTAGCTTTAATCATACAGAAGAAACAGACAAAAACTATATAGATAAATCTGAATAATAATTGTAGAGAAAGGCAGCATTGCTCACATTGTGGGGGATAATGAAATTCAGTGCAAAGATGAATAAGGAATGTTGATATGACATGAGATTTTACTTCTGTGTTTGATTATTTTCACCTTCTTTTTCAGCTGAAGGAGCTGAGGGGTCGGTTAGCAGACATGGAGGGCCACAGTCGCTCCTCAGTCGGATTGTCTCAGCTGGAAAACAAGATCCTGGAGCTGGAAGAACGACTTCGGAGTGAGGAGAGGTACATGCTTAAAGTGTATTTAAGTTGAGATATTTTTTCCTATTGAGATGGTCATTACAATATTGTATTTATGTTTTCTGTTGTAAAGAGAGAAAAACACGGTGCTGGCAACACAACGTCGTCTGGAGAGAAAACTGAAAGACCTCAATATGACGCTGGATGAGGAGAGGCATAACCACTCCGAACAGAGAGACCAGGTTTAACTGATTCTGATGGTTAATAGATATAAACAATAGATCCAATAGTTTTTACTATTTATAATAATATAAAACATGCAACATTTTAGTCAAATAAAGTCATAATTATAGAACAAATAATGTGAAATCCATGTACATAAATATATGATACATATCTCTACATTTATTTAATATTTCCAGATGTATTGTACAGTTTGTCATTAAAAAAACTCAAAGTGTCCCTTACAGCTTTAACATTTGTGGTAAATAGATTACATTAAAATCAGATAAATTTTAGTCAGCATTATAAATAACAGATAAGTAAATGTGCCTTTGCCCAGCCTAATTTCCCTCCTCTGTATTTCTGTATTTCAGCTTGCTCTAAAGGTGAAGGCTCTGAAGAGGCAGGTGGACGAGGGGGAGACGGAGCTGGAGCGCATCGATAACCTGCGCCGAAAAGCCCAGAGAGACGCAGAGGAGCAGATGGAACTGAAGGAGGCGCTACAGAGCAGAGTGGCAGCTTTGGAGACTGAACTCAAGTACGGACTCACACTTCATAGATTGTGTTCACGAGACATTACAATGGTCTAAAGATAAAATAGACTCTATTCACGCTTACGTCACAAACCAGGAAGACGTTTGGAAAGATGTGATTACAACTTCCGGTGTAGTTACCAACAATGGGCCGCCTAACATGGATCTCTTAAAACCAACTGTGATAAAACTCATTGACGTAAATGTGATCAGTGGTAAAATGAAGACGTATGAGCTGTTTGGAATCATCTTGAACTTGGCGCCTCATCTCTTCTAATCGTGTGTACCCAGAGTGCTCGGAGTTGTGTGTCAGTGAGGAAATGATGAAAACTGAGGTATGGTTGTAATTGTTGATTAGCCGAACATAACGGAACGCTACAATGACATGCAGATGAAGAAAACTGGGCCTGGGAAGTTGTAATCACATATTTTCAAACATTTTCCTGGTTTGTGACGCAAGCTTGAATAGAGCCTATAATTTAAAATTGAATAAGTAGCAGTAGATCAGGTCAGATCTGGGGAAAGGAGCCCCCGCTCAGGAGCCCCCACTCACTATAAGAGTAGACATTTTTTAAGGTATATTAGCACTAAATACTTTTGTAATTTAACACAAAAGCCAAGTTTAATACCATGCTGTGAAACATAGCAATACTATCTCCATGGAGACAAGCAATTACATAGCGCACCTTTAAATAAAATTATTCAAATAGATTTCTTGTACCACTGTAGTCTCAGTATGAGAGTGTGGGAAACACTGGAGGCCCACAGGAAACATGATGTCTCCATCTCTTCTGTGGGCAGGTCTAAACTCAAAGGAATGAAGGAGCTGAATGCAGCCCTAATAATTATGGCCGACACCTCCTGACAACCACTTTATCTGAGCTGTGTGCAAAGGAGAGAGTAATAGCACGACTCCAGCCCCCCCGCTCTCTGTGTGCAACCATGAATGAAGCTGCATGTAAATGATGCTATTACCACAGGCCTAGAGTCCTGTCCACTCTGTTACAATGACACCTGGCAGAGATCTGTGTCCCTGAGGCGGTGGGTTACACTGTGAGATGTGTGTAAAACATTTGAGCGATCAACCATGTGTGAAGAGGTATTTCATTAAACTAAGAAGGTACATAACTCGTGCGCCTCAGGGGAAATTAAATGACGGCCTCAAGAGTGCAGTGCAGATCTTACATGTAACCACCAGAGGGAGTCCAAGAGCTAGTGGAAAGTAACTACATCCTCCTTTTTTCAGTGAATTTACTGCACATCACATTAAATTCTAGGTACATTTTGTTCTTAGAATCTATATTCAAGAATCTTATAAATTTAGAGCGTTTGAGGCTGCTTTTCTCGAAAGTAAAATACACATTTAAAGTTATAATTGATCCACGTGTCTTGTTTTTAGCTTCCTGGATCACTGCCATGCTCTGTATACAGGGCTCAATCAAAAGGCCTTCAGCCATTTCCAGTTGGTTTAAAATTCAGCTCCAAGACTCCTGACAGAAACCAAAACCAAAAGAGACTAACATGTACCTGACCCCAGCTCCCTGCACTGGCTACTGGTCAATTGGAACAACTGACTCTTAATACATCGTTAATTACATCCATCTGGGGTCTAGTTTTGGCCTGTATTTGCACATTTTCCCGTCTGCTCCTTATGCTCTTCCAGTCAGACCCTCCTCCTCAAAAACAAAACAGAACGTCTAAACAATGTTAATATGTTGTTTACAGGAAATCTGGTATTTCCAAAACAAGACAGGGTAAGATGGTGGTCTAAATATGGTTTATTTTGGCAGTTAGTATCCCATTGTGAATTGTAATACCTCCAAAGTGTAATACCTGAAAACGTTTTAATTATAAGAGTTTGGAATAAAGTTCTGTGTTCAGTTTTTCTAGTTTAAATAAATAAATACATGGATTTATTGTTGCAGGCGTAAAACCCAGGCCTCCCTGCGCCCGGTTCTGGACTCGTCAGCTCTGAGCTCGGACGATGACGACAGTTTGTACGACCACTCCAGTATCACCTCCATCTTGACCGAGAGCAACCTCCAAACCAGCTCCTGCTAGGACCCCCCAGGTGCAGGGCCAGTGTGGGAAACTCCAGCGCTGCTATTAAAGAATGAGGGGGAGGAAACAGAAGCTGGCTGTGCGTCGATGTGGGTTAATTGCACTTTGGTATGCACTATTCACAGGTACAAATGTACAGGGAGAACGATTTTCCAAAACACGAGCGTGAATAGGAGGAAGTCAAAGCGCCACAGCTGTTTCCTCCTCTCCACAGCGTAGCACATGCAAATTAGGCTGTGGTACATACTCAGAAATGCAATGTTGTCATCTCTTTCCCATTTAATGATGCTATTTTCAGCTAGGGGCATCTTGAGCTAAGGTAATTATTGTAATTTTAAGTTAATGCTCTTAAAGATGCATTATGTAACTTAGATAAATTCTGTTCTGTTTCTAAATATTAAGATGAAAAAAGGATGACATAATACATTAAAGCTGACATTTCTTTTCTGAGTGAACTTTATAAAGCCGCATTTCTCACATCTGAAACAAAAGCACTTTTTTATAGAAAAGGAGATGGCACAAAATACATGAAATACCTCTCTCTCTATTTTATTTTTTCAGTCTTACGTTGAGTCTCTATTATTGTAATTTAGATTGAATTACATGGTACTGTCACCCCACAAGTTTCTGTAAAAAAGTGGAAAAAATATATATATTACTACTTTGATTTTGTAGAGATAATACAAATGTATGCTCTTGGATTTATCTCTTAATTAAAAAAAATGTAAAGTTATAATAATAAATACACTTAACATATCATTAAAATGTGTATGATTCATAGGTTCTTAGCAATAGCTGTAATATTTGAGAATCTGATTCGTTGTCACTTTTAAAATTAGCCAAATTGATAAGTTAGAAGTTAAAACTGCACTATTTCTATGCAATGTTTTTATTTGTTAATGATATTTTTTACATATAATTTTGATATGTAACATTGTATGATATTTGTACAGTTTGAACAATCACAATAATTCCACTACTGTGTATTTCCTTTATGGTAAATACTGTAAAATAAATTAGAGAAATGTTCTGTAATGACTGAGATTTGTATGGCATTCATTTTAGCAATAATAAAACTATTCAGAAGTGATTTTTTGTAAACTTTGCAACAACAAATTCCTTCGCGTGAAAGTTAAGAGGTTTCTACAGAATTCTCTTTGATAAGATAAAGGAGCGGTTGGTTTAGATATTAAAGGTGTGGGTTAAGTTTGTCTTCTGAGGAATAGGTATATCGAGTGTGAGTGGGGTTTAAAGGTTATCTAATCATTTAATTATCATTTCCTTGTATTGCATTTCCCTATATAGAGTTGTTTTTTTGCTTTCTACATCTCAACAATTGGACCAAGTAATGATTTTTTTTTGAATAGGGCTGAGCGATTGGGAAAAATATACTAGTATAGATCAGATTTTCTTGGCAATGTGATTAGATTTAAGGTTTCTGTTTTTAAATCAAGATTAAGTTCATATAGTGCACATTTCAAACACGTCCAGAAGCATTAACATTTGAGAGAAGACAAGATTCCCATACATGTAACTGAGCATTTAGACATGTTATATAAGGTTCTTACCTCATCAGAAACACACCTGGAGTTGTTTTTTGTTTCATTCACACGTTTCAGTAATCCTTTCTTATTCTTAGTCTGTTTATGTCTCCAAAGCTCAAAATGCTCTGTTCCACCTTCTGATGTCATGATGAAGCAGAAGTTTACCTTTTGTTCAGAAGAGAATGGCAACTCCAGGGCTTAAATCATCCAAATTATTCTAGTGAAGGTGTATGGTATTACTACATGATATCACAAGGTGGTACAGAGTGTTTTGTGTTTGAGAGAAGAAGTCTGCCTAAAAATGCAGGGTTTGTGTGTAAAACGTGTGAATGAAATAAAACACGACTCCAGGTGTGTTTGTGATGAGGAAACAACATTATAAAATACTGTAGATCAGAAAATTGTGTAATATGAGCCTTTTAAAAAGACAAGACACGCTACTATTTAATTATTTCATCAGAGCATTTTTCTCAAACTGGTAGCTGTCACTGTCAGTCTGAGGAAAACTGATAGTCACAGCATACTTTGTCACAGCATGTCCTTTGTATTTGCATATCTCCATTCTATAATAGATGTTATTATTCACATTATCAGATTCCACGTTACTTAATGAGGATGTTACAAAACATCACAGTGTTATATTTGTAGACACTCGTCAGGGGCCACCTCATCTCACTAACTTTTGTTTTTGATCACAGTGTAGATTTTTTTCCTTTGAAATTTAATAACATGTCTAACAGCAGTGACATAAACAAACAAAAAATCTTCAAGACTAACGTCATGTCCGCACTTATATAATTCAGAAACATGCAAGATGACAAAAGCAAATGTTTGAGATTAATCCTTATAATAAAGTGGTTTCAACACAAAAGCCTGCCACAAACACATTTCAAATAAAGCCGATAAATTTGGCAGTGTTTGTGGAGTAAAGTAAAGAGTGTTGGCGGAGGAGGGTTTGGAAGTATAAGGAACAGTGTGACTGATCTAAGAAGTATCCGCACTTCAAACTTTGTACCCCTGCAGCCTGGTCTTTGCACACTCCAGTCTGTAATCAGGGCTGTTCTGTGTGATGTTATTATCTACTGGAAATTGCAGAGGCCACTGAAGCGGCACACTTAGAGTTAGATGTTTTGATCAGAAAGCTGCAAATGTACCTAGTTTGCACTAAAGTTTACAAAAAAAACCTGTAAGAGTAGATAATGCAGTTAGAACACAATGGACACAGTTTAGCAGCGGGAAAAAGTGGATTTAGTGTTCAACATTAAAAGGACCAAACTAGAGATAGTGAAAGAAAGAGGATGGTCATAATGGGGGACATGTAATGAGCCACATGATCCCCCTACAGTCTGGAGATGGTCACTGACTTTATAAAATGAAGGCCCAAAGATACTCTAAGAAGAACAGTGAGACGGGATACGCAGGTCTGGACTATGACAAAGGGACAGCAGGAGACTTGTGCCAAGGACAAGCTCTGATGGAAAAGGACACTCTGTCTTATGTGCCACTGAGGAACAAGAAGAAGTACTGATGATAAACACTGAACTATATCAAAGTGTGCCCTTAAAACCCCCTTTTAAATATTTTCTTTTAAAGTTTTAGTATACGGGAGCATACAGGACTGGGGTGAGGAGTGGGGAGAGATTCGACATATGTCTTGGACTTACTGTATAACCTAAAAAGACTAAATCCTACAGGCCTGTGGTTCTTCTTTGCTGTAGTTTCAGGACACATATTAAAACTCCTATTACAAGCTGCAATCCAAATTATTATTTTAATTTCATAATATCATAAAAACATTTAACAGTTTGACAGTCATATTATAAACCTTTCAGACCAACACCCATAAAATAACTCTCCGTCTAACCCATTACTCACCCAAAGAACTTGATATCTGTAGTCATTTCAGTTTGCAAATCATTTTAATCAGCTGATTAAGTTAGATAACTGTATACTGCAACTGCAACTGCAACTTTATTCATAACATGCTTTAAAAACAACACAGGTTGACCAAAGTGCTACAGAACATAATTAAATAAGAAACAATAAAAACAGTAAAACAACATATGAATAAAAACAGAATCTAATAAAAACTATAAAATAATAAAGCAATATGTGGATAAAAACAGAATATAATAAAAACAACTAATAAAATATCAACATCCCAAACTGTGTCAAAAGCCAAAGTGAACAAATGTGTTTTAAGAAGAGATTTTTAAAAATGTACCTTTTTGTCTAATGTGCTAAGGCAGTTCATTCCACAGTTTTGCAACCACCTCAAAGGCTCTGTCTGAGGAGCTGGTCAACCTGAGACACCCTGCAGTAAACATTTGAGCAGTTTATTGTCTTATTTGACCAAATGTAATATGCAGTCATCATTGTCAAAACAGATAAAATTACAGTGTCTTCATTTTACAGTGATTTCGTCCAGGTCATCATGCAACCCAAACTTTGGAAACGGCTGTAGTATCTATTTTTAGAGTTGTTGATTTGAGCATTTGACACACTGTATATCAAAAAACAGATTATCATCAGTCACATATGCAAAGGTTCTCAATTTATGGACTTTTTTTTTTTTTAGAATTATATGTTACAAAATTTCAAATGATGTAATAAGCTGAAATGAGAGCAATGCCAACTGACCTGTTTCTTGTTTCTTGTGTTAATTAAAATATGCACATACCTTTACCTAATGAAGCTAATAACACTTGTCAGAGCAAATGATCATTTTCTAACCTTGATGCCCTTCTCACCTGGATCACACCCTCATTGTACCGCAGAAACTGAGCTCTTATTGTTCAAACTAGAATGTTTGCCGAGGATTAGGTGTACTATGTGGGCACAACATACTATATAGGCCAACCTCTGTGTACTGTAATGGTGACACAAATAGTTGCTGAAACCAGAAAACCTCAGGTGCATGTGAGGAATGTGCAGAATCAGGACTAAAACTATTGAAAAACACTGTATGTGAAGGACAGGACGGAAAATTTGAACTGGAAATAACAAGATCTTACGAGAATAGTGAGAAGAAACATTGTAGTTTTGGTCATGTTCAAGATTCAAACTTAAATACATTGTCATTTTTTGTGCTCACATAACGGGAAAAGCACAGAAATCAGTATAAAATGTTAATATACTGACTTGAAAAGGATTTTAAAGAAGGATATATTATGCAAAATCAACTTTCCACATGCCTGAACTGGTTTTGTATGTCATCCACACAATCTAAATGTCATGTGTTAGCAGTCACTCCCCTATAGAGGTGCAGTACTGCCATATTAAATGCATATTTTCATCATATTTTTATCAGTTCAGAGGCAGTTTCTGAAGAAAAGGAAAAAGTTAGAAAGAAAAAGAAAAGTTACAGGAAGTAGCACTGAGCTCTGTACGGGAATTCGTCTGTGTGGTCTATAAACAAAAATCCATCCTAATCCATGGGGGTAGTTTATGCTTGAGAGAAACCAGATCCACACTGCAGTTCTTTGGAGCTCCTAACTTCTTATTTTAATGGCACCACAATGTGACGTTTCGGAGTCAAGCCCTTCTTCAGACATGGAAGTTAAAGTTTGACACCTGTTTTACTGTATATATCGGCCCAAGTTTAGTCACCTGACCCACTATGTGATCAGTCCCAGTGTAAAAAAAAAAAAAAAGATTATAATTGTTGAATGAAATCTACACTACAAACAGGGGTTCACTCGGTTTTAAAGTGCTGTATTAATTTGTCACAGCCACATGTATTTTCACTATTTACAATTATATACAAAAATAAATAAATAAATAAAAAATACAGAAGAACATAATATTTCTTATTTCTTATTAGGGGTGTCAAATTATCGCGTTAATTGCGATTAATTAATTACAGTCATATTTAGCGCGTTATGTTTTTTAATCGCGTTAATATCATTTTTAATCTCTAACTTTAGTGTTTCTGTATGTGAGTTGCTTTATTATAAAACCTGTTTTTATGTGTTGTTGGGACAACAACACACACACACAAAACACATTTATACATTTTTTTTATTTCGGTAATTCCACTCATTGCCGGAAACCCACACAAAACGCGCGCAGTAAGAGCGATGTCAACGTCATGTTAACGTTGGCGGCGTCAGTCGCACAATGGACGAGGTCGAAGAGCCAGTAGAACAGAGGCAGCAGTGCACAGGTAAAAACGCATTCGTGTCTTGGAAATTATTCTCCCGACGTGAAATATAAAAGAAAATAACTAATATAATATCGCCTACAACTTAAATGTCACTGGTGAAAACAACCTGCATAGGCTCATGATGTCTGCACTACTGTCCTATAGTGACCTGCCACATGAGGGGACACGCACACAAAACACACACAAACACAAACACACACCTTCATCATCGTCATTAACCTGAGAACGCGCGGACCACGTTTCCTTCCGTAGTTACACTGCGCGGACACCGACGTGCTCCCGTGAGCCGCGTGTGGATCGTGTTTTCTCGCGTACGCGGCGTAAACCGCGCTTCCTCCTGTGAGCCTCTAAACCAGAACTAACACCAAGACT